GTGTTTGCTCCATTGCGTGCAGTATAGTACTGTACAATACTTGATGCAAGCCATGGACTTCTCTCTTGCTTCAACTCCAGATCCGAAGCGTTTCTTGACTAACAGTCGCATCTATAGCTAACCGAGATCCATCATGGCTCGAAGCTCCTCGCCTACGCAGGGCAGCCTGCGACAGAGAGGCGCGCCATCAAAGAAACCCTCTGAAGAGTCTTTCAACCCCAACCCCGAGCTTGACAAACTTGCTAAGGCTGGTGCTCAACGGGCCGCTGCCCAGAGCGAGACCGAGTACAAGATTGGTCTTGCCATCATCACTATCTTGTCCTTCGTGACTCGATTCTGGGGTATTAGCCACCCCAACGAGGTTGTCTTTGACGAGGTGCATTTTGGAAAGGTAAGCTTTCGATCGAATATCCCAATCATTAAGCACAATGGCTGACTTGGACTCTACAGTTCGCTTCCTACTACCTCGAGCGAACCTACTTCTTCGATGTCCACCCTCCTTTCGGCAAGCTTCTTTTCGCCTTTGTAGGCTGGCTGGTCGGTTACGATGGCCACTTCCACTTCGATAACATTGGCGACTCCTACATTGCGAACAAGGTCCCCTACGTGGCCTTCCGAGCTCTGCCTGCTACCCTCGGTGCTCTGACAGTCGCCGTTACATACCTCATCATGTGGGAGTCTGGCTACAGTCTTCCCGCTTGTGTCCTCGCCGCTGGTCTTCTTCTTCTTGACAACGCCCATATTGGACAGACCCGACTTATCCTCTTGGATGCTACCCTCGTTCTCGCTATGGCTTGCAGTCTTCTCTTCTACATCAAGTGGTACAAGCTCCGACATGAGCCCTTCTCCCGCAAGTGGTGGAAATGGCTTATTCTTACCGGTTTCGCTCTTTCTTGCGATATCTCGGTCAAGTATGTTGGCGTCTTTGCTTTCGTTACCATTGGCTGTGCCGTCGTTATCGATCTCTGGGATCTTCTGAACATTAACCGACCCGGCGGTGCTATCAGTATGCAAGAGTTTGGCAAGCACTTTGCTGCTCGTGCCTTTGGTCTGATCATAATGCCTTTCCTATTCTACCTCTTCTGGTTCCAGGTTCATTTCGCTGTTCTCTACCGATCCGGACCTGGTGACGACTTCATGACACCTGAATTCCAGGAGACCCTCAGCGACAACGTCATGCTGGCCAACGCGATCGACATTCAGTACTACGACAGCATCACTATCCGACACAAGGAGACCAAGACCTACCTCCACAGTCACGAGGACCGTTACCCCCTCCGATACGACGACGGCCGTGTTTCTAGCCAGGGCCAGCAGATTACCGGTTACCCTTACAATGACACCAACAACTACTGGGAGATCTGGCCCGCTGACAACAGCAAGACTCCTGGCCGCATTGTCAAGAACCACGACCTGGTCCGTCTCCGCCACGTTGGTACTGACAAGATCCTGCTCTCTCACGATGTTGCCTCTCCTTACTACCCCACCAACCAGGAATTCACAGCTGTCACACCCGAAGAAGCTCTCGGCAAGCGCGAGAAGGAAACTCTGTTTGAGGTCCGCCTCGAGCACGGCAAGAAGAACCAAAACTTCAAGTCGGTTGCCGGTCACTTCAAGCTCATCCACAACCCAAGCAAGGTCGCTATGTGGACTCACACCAAGCCTCTGCCTGAGTGGGGTTACAAGCAGCAGGAGATCAACGGTAACAAGCAGATTGCGCCCAGCTCCAACGTGTGGATCGCTGAGGACATTGCTTCGCTTCCTGCCGATCACCCTCGTCGCCAGAAGCCCGAGCGCAAGGTCAAGTCTCTTCCCTTCCTCCAGAAGTGGTTCGAGCTTCAGCGCGCTATGTTCTACCACAACAGCAAGCTCACCAGCAGCCACCCCTATGCCAGCCATCCTTACCAGTGGCCTTTCCTGCTCCGCGGTGTCAGCTTCTGGACTCAGAGCGAGACCCGCCAGCAGATCTACTTCCTTGGTAACCCTGTTGGTTGGTGGTTGGCCAGCAGTCTTCTCGCCGTGTACGCCGGTATTCTTCTTGCTGATCAAGTCTCTCTTCGCCGTGGAATTGATGCCCTGGACCGCCGTAAGTGAAGTTGCAATCCCAATTCATGAATTTAATACTGACAGACTCAAAAGGTACCCGCTCTCGCCTGTATAACTCTACCGGCTTCTTCTTCCTGGCCTGGGCTACCCACTACTTCCCCTTCTTCCTCATGGGACGACAGCTTTTCTTGCATCATTACCTTCCAGCTCACCTTGCTTCTTGTCTTGTCGCCGGTGCTCTTCTCGAGTTCATCTTCAACTCGGAGCCTGCCGAGGAGATCACTATTAAGGATAAGAAGGGTCCTGTCGGCCCCAAGCACCACGTCACCGCCCGCGAGCGATTCTCTGGCCAGAGCATGGTTGGCGCTTGGACCGCTTGTGGTGTTGTTTTGGCGCTGATCGTCGCTGGTTGGTACTTCTTCCTGCCCCTTACCTACGGTTACCCTGGTCTCTCTGTTGAGGCTATTCTCCGAAGGAAGTGGCTCGGATACGACCTGCACTTTGCCAAATAGATGGAGGCGTAGGTGATTCATTGCATTGAGATCCAAGAGGCTCAGGGGAGTGTGCGTGGATCTCATAGTGGATTCTCCTGGGCCTCGATTATGGCTTACAGAGTCATCATGGCATTGATCAATGGAAGAAATGCTGGGGCTCTATGGAGAAACGAACCATTAGTACTTGGCGAAGCTAATCTCTCAATTTTCTCTTGACGAAATGTAAACTGTTGAAGATATAAAAAAGCTAGCCTGATATTTCTTTAAGTACTTGAACGAATTGATCATGGAAGAATTGAAACGTCCATTACAATGAGTGAATTGGTTTGACCCGATTTGGCAGGGTAGCTTTAGCCCCTGTAAACCGACAGACTAAAATATGTACCCCGGATCATCGTCAGTGAGTCATGGTCTGGCACTTGAAGGTCCAATAGCTCGATGATGTGCGTGTGTTTTTACATGTAGATATTTATATAAAACGTCAAAGTCACTGTAAAAGAGCCCCTCACGTGGGAATGGCATCCTTGTCATGACGCTGTTGTAGGGCGGGCTATCAGAGAGGCTGAACCCCAATGGGTACTGTAATATACTGTACTCCAATAGTTGATGTGATCTACCTACAGGTACCTAAGCAAGGGATGCATACTTTGTCCTCTTTAAACATCAGTCAGATTCGATCATGATTTTTCTTCTTAGATGATATTCCGCAATTCCTCTGGCTAAACTCATCGCACGGTATATCTATACCTGTTTCAACACCAATCAGGCCATTACAATGCTGCTTCGCTGTCATCATCGCGAATAAGGAATCATGGTCTCCCGTACGAACCGCCTCTACTTCCGTCGCCTCCTCCGCTCGCGCTTCCCAAAGATCGTTTTGGTCCTCTTAATTCTCGTAAATATCCTCGACGTTCTTCGCATCCACAAAAACCTCCTCGATGCCGACCGCACGCCTGCTCCGAAGCTCTCACAGCCCCCGGAGCGAATATACATCGCCAGCATGCACTTCAACAACGAGCGCGTGATACGAGACAATTGGGCTCCAGCGGTGATCGAGCTTTCCAAGACTCTAGGGAAAGAAAACGTATTCGTTAGCGTGTACGAGAGCGGGAGCTGGGACAACACAAAGCACGAGCTAAACAAGATGGCGCTGGAGCTTCAAAATATGGGGGTGCCACATCGCGTGGACATGTCAGATACGACACATAAGGATGAGATTGAGAATCCGGATAAAGGTGAGGGCTGGATTAATACGCTGAGAGGGAAGCGCGAGTTGAGAAGGATACCGTTTCTGGCCAAGTTGAGAAACAGGACATTGAAAGACTTGATTGCTTTGCAGAAGAAGGGCGAGCATTTCGACAAAGTTCTCTTTCTCAACGATGTTGTCTTTACGGTATGTCACTTCTTGCCGTAGGCGCACAACTTCTCACACAATTGCAGATCGACGATATCCTCAAGCTGTTGGGTACAAATGGCGGCGATTACGCTGCGGCTTGTTCATTGGACTTCTCCAGGCCGCCAGAGTACTATGATACATTTGCGCTGAGAGATATCTCTGGCTATGCGCATGCGATGCACACGTGGCCGTACTTTAAATCGAGCGTTTCCAGGAATGCACTCGTTAACCATCTAGATGCCGTGCCAGTTTCGAGTTGCTGGAACGGAATTGGTCCGTTCAATACCCCTGGGTCGAGATTACAATGACTGATACTACCTTAGTTGCCATGCCTACTGAGCCTTTCACTTCATCCTCAAAACTCCGATTCCGCGGCATTCCGGATTCTCTAGCAAAACATCATCTGGAAGGCTGCGAGTGTTGTTTGATTCACGCAGACAACCCTCTCACGAAAACAAGAGGTGTATATCTCAACCCACGCGTTCGTGTAGGTTACAACTCGGCGGCATACAAGGCCGTGCATCCCGAGCAAGGTGCTTGGGTGTCTACATGGCAGATCTTCTCTGGCCTTTGGATCAACCGCGTCATGCGATGGGTCTCAGCGCCCTTTGACTCCTGGGTGGTGAGAAAGCGTGTGGCGGCATGGGAGAAGGAAGGCATGGGGAGGAGAGAACCTGGTGAGTTTTGTTTGATTAACGAGATGCAGGTTCTTGTTGAACGAGGTTGGGCACATGTTTAGATATGACTTAAAGGATCACATTGCAAGAAAAAAGAGGGAAAGTCCCAAGATACCCATAGAGATAAAAATTGAAAGAGATGACTCAGCCTGTATTTGAGAACGTTCAAACGACATGTCTATGAAACAAAAACCAGCCGATAACCTACCGGAAACGCCAGAAACTTCGACTCAAATAATACTTTTACCAGTCATGGGCCAGCCATAACTTCTTGCTTGAGGTCCAGCTCAAACACTGGTGTTCCTAAGTCGTGGCAACCAGGGGTCCAGCCCTCTGTATTGCCAACTCATCTCTTCTCTAACACAACTTCCTCGCCTGAAGACCCGTCTAAGCAAGTCTTTGTGCATCATCCCATTTAACTGAACAGTCAGCCAGGTCGACGGAGGGTGGGCGTCTCTCTTGCACGTCTTCGTTCTGGTTTCGGTTGAGTTCAGGAAATGTGACCAGAGTGGCTCTTCCTACTCTGGTCGCTCGTCTTGCTTGCATGACGATATCCTCCTCCTCATCTTCTCCATAGGTCTCATCTTGCGAGTGAGTTGTGGGAACCGAGCAAGAGTCACAAGCAGAAGTAACAGAACTCTCGGAGTCTGAGCCCGATGAGAAATCTTCCGTTGAAGGATCGACAACAAGCGCAACTTGGGATCGAACAGCTTGACGTGGGTCATCGTGGACAATGTGAACGGACCGGCGTGGCCCAGGATTCCAGGCCACTATCTCTATGTCCTCAGGCTCATGATCATTAGCAAAAGACTGCCTAGTTGAGTGCGAGGCGGGGGGCGCTTGGCGTTCGGGTTGAAAGGGGGTGTTCCAGTAAGACTGAATTTGAGACTCGTCGAGCCGGGTAGCCTTTCCACGTCGGTCTTCAGGATAGGGCGATGGTTGCAGTGCTCTGTACCTACCTTTACTGGTGGGGCTTGTAAGATAAATGGTATACCAACCATCAGAGTCTCTCTCATACTTTGGTTTGGTCCTGAGAACTGAAGGTTCAGGTGAAGACTTACCAGAGAAGAATCGCCAGGCCTGCTTCAAGGCTGATACTCGGTGTGGACGGGATTTGTCGATCTCATCCTGAGCATTTTCTCGAGTCTGTGGCGCGAGACTACCGCTACCACCAGGCGTATTGAGTGGTGTTTCCATTGCCCCTCTTGGGTCAGGGTAGGGTGTTGTTGGCTTGGGGTGTTCTTCTTGTCGTCGCCCAGCGACGATGGAAGCCTGGTTCTTTACAGAAGGAGACATTTTGATGAAGAGACTGAATCAGTGAAAGATGAATGACGATGCCATGATGGGCAAACAGTGAAAAATGTTTCGCTTTAAATGGATAAGGTACGTCTCCTAGACTGGTATAGAACAAGCTGTTCAAGATAAGTTGTTCAGCAGAATACGTGCGTGAGGTCCCATTGTATTTGTGCTGCATGTGTTTGCTCGTTGTCACGATAAATGGACAAAGGGGTGTGTGCATGACCTTGTCTATAAGTTCCGTTATGATAGTCTGGCTGTTCTTTGGTGTCATAGAACAATAGAATGGTCAACGGCTTTGTCCAGATTCCCATCACTCTTGTAAAAGTGTTAACTACCAGGATAACTCCATGGCCACTTGTTCCATACATCAGAAGGTTTAGTATAAGTAATTTCAGACACCCGTAGGGATGTCTTTCAGCTTTCGAAACACCTTTACTACAGATTCCCCTAACTACTTACACGGTTGACGACGAACGCGAATCTCAAACCACCAAAGGCGTACGTACATATTCGTGCTTCTTTACGTTAAACAGTACCCTGTCTACTACTGCTGTCACCACACTTTGCCCAACATGTGTAAATATCACGTCCGCAACTACACGTCTTGTCGACACAACAAGCTCATTCGAAAGGAGAGCTGTTGGCAGGATCAGGTGGAAGGTTGCTTTTCCTGCTTCTCACTATCCTCCTGGCTGTACCCCAGCGGTACTCATTTGAAAGTCACAATCCACACGACCATGACTGGATCATGCCATGAGTGTGACGAACATCAGAGGAACAGTACTCGCCGAGACTATGGCAACTTTGTCACACAGTCATCTTATGGTGTTGAAAGCTCTCAGGGAGCGGGACAGACGCAGGCGTCTGATTACTCGTGTGGAGGTTTGAACGAACGTCCGGTGAGAACCCCTGACAGAACTTACCAGCCTAATGGGTATCAAGCGGAGGAGGCCCAAATGAGCTATCCTTCTCCGCAGCAGAGAGAAACCAGATCTTTGCAGATTCCTTCCTACGGGTACGCCAGGCAAATTCATCGTGCTCGCTTTGTTGCCCAGCCTTCCAGATTGCAGGTAAGTCATGGAAGAGACGGAATTGAACTGATAAACATCCAGGCTCCTTCTAACCGTCAGAATAACAACAGAAGTGTCAACAACTTTTCGGACCCCAGCCCTTATGAGTTGGAGGTTTCTCTCCGCAACAGGGAAAGCTTACGTGTGAAGAGCAGAAATCTGACGGCAACACCACACCGCACTCACTCAGAGCCTAGCCTACACGAGCTTCAAGTTTCGCCGAGCAACAGTGACAATGCTCGTTCAGTGAGCGAGCATCAAGAGGATACTCAGGACGACACTGGCAACAATCGTTCGGGACGTCCTCGCCACCAGTTCCGTCGCGGAAACATGGATGTAATGGATCGCCTTCCTCGCCCAGCGCCTAGCCCTATAGATGGCGAGCGTCCTCCAGTCAATAACAGAGTTGCAGCGTTGCGAGGGGAACGACGTACTAGGTCGTCCAGGCCGTCTAGGCCGTCTAGGCCGTCTAGGACAAATTCACCAGTCGACCGCTCTCAGACGGTTTCGCCACTCACTGAGAGTGATCTGAGTGCACCATTTGTTCATATCCCCGAGTATGATGAATACCCTGAGTACCCTCCGTTCATCTAGATCGTGAGGTTAGGATGGGTAGAGTTGGAGGAATGTTGGGTGTTTTGGGAATTGGCTGGCGTATGGAGTGTGATGTTTTCTCATATGAATAAAGACTGTGGGGTAGAACAAAATCGAATTGAATTTTTGATAAATTTCTGCGTCTCTTTGTTGAGTTTTCAATGGTGAAGTAGAATGCATATAACGTTGTATAGAATACAATACAATGGTACCAATAGGCTGGTCACGCCTGAACTAAGATCAGCCGTGTTAATAAATGTATCATTTGATCTCGTTTCCTAACAGTCAATATGATATTAATGCAATTATTATTATATAGGCCAGTCCCAGGCTTTCAGTTCGTGCCGAAAACCTAAATAGCTGAAAGATCTTTCATATTCTGCATATTGGATCCAATTTTGCCAAAGTGAGTTATCTGATCTACCTACTACCCATAAAAAAGACGGTAGCAAGAGGATATGAGCCAAAACCTTTAATGCAAGCGAGTATACGATCGTTACAAGGATTTAGCATTCACAGACCATCAAACCTGATAATATTAACCAATTAAGGGTCACAATTCTCGGGTGATTTGATCACGAGTTTATACAGGGACCGAGCAATCCAAAATAAACTCGTTACGAAAGTTCTTGGAGCTTGTTTGTGTAAACGGCATCAAAAATAGGACTGTCAAGGGACCAGTCGCACAGGGATGAGGGAAAAGAAAATAATCCGTTTCAGCTGATGTCACTAGTTAGTCTAGTCCTTGGTATCTAAAATGCATACGTATCCTTTGCAAACCAGAATACGGGTGCCTTGAGAATGGGGTTCACCACTCGAGGCATCCAAATATGTCCCCGGTCTGGGATAGGCTGCTCGATAAAGTAAGCTCCCATTGGCCCGTGGTAGGGACATTTCAAAATTGACGACAACATAAAGTAGGACTATAGTGGCGTTAGACGTACAAAGAGTCCTGATGGAATGAACAAATGAATGCAGGGGGCTTGCTAAAATGTCGCGCTTGCGTGGAGACGTACGTAGATATGGTTATTTTGGTCAAATGTGCATGTTTGATTGCGTACGCGCGCATCTGTTCTGTTGAAACTAGATGACAGAATTCCTAAGCTTGGCATCGGTCTAGATGGCAATACGATGGCTTCATACGAAAGCCCCCTCTACAAAAAGAAACCTTTGCATATTTCCACAAATGATATGCTAGCATGCCAAGACTTGCAGTCTGTACTATGTACTATGTAAATAGGTGATAAATTAATGCAAGTTTCAAAAGCCGGCGGCAATGATGACTCTTCTGATCGAGGGAATGCTTCTCAAGAGCATTGTTTGGCTGTGGCGGATACTGACCGATGGATCTAGCACAGCGGCCTCAGTCTGAGATGCATGCTTCAGGACAAACCCTCTGAAGGGTTAGCAGTGCGATGAGATGCGAATGCAATGTAACCGTTGAGTGATGGGGGTCCACGGTCTAGGACCCGAAAGGGAAATCGCCGGCCATTGAGTCAATGGTGACATGACAATCGTTTTGACCAACCCCTGCACCAAGAAGCAGCCCTATGCGTGGAGCAAATGCGAGGACGAACCTGGTCGATTAGCCGTGGGTCCGCGCTATGGAGACGGCGTTGATGGTGCAGCACTGCAGTATGGATGGACACGGGGACAGGAACCAGACCAGTCAAGGAGAATTCTTTTGAGACTGAAAGCTTTGGTCTGGTGTTCATTCCCGATCCGAGGACAAGGACAAGCGAGGATGCTCGATAGCTGGGCACGGTATGAGTCGTCGTGTCCACTTTCACGGAAGGATCTCTATTTGTGACGATCACGCCTTGATTCAGTCGAGTCTGCTTATCTGCTGCTAAAAGGGTCTGGAGACGAGAATGCATGCATGTCCTGATGTCTTGGTTGTTGGCGAGTTTCCCTCTCAATCAAGCTCAAGTTCCGTTCCTAACATGGCGGATCAAAACAATTCGAGATCCAGATTATGCAAGTTAAAAATTCCAACAATTCAATGCAGTCAAGGGGGTTGCAAAGAGGCAGCGCAACGCCATTGCAGGCACAGCCGTCAAAGAGGGCTGAGGTGGAGGGTCAAAATGCAATGCATCAATCAATTCAAGTACAGTGTGCATTTTGTGTGCAACATCAGTCTCAGTTGCAGAGCCGGAGCGAATGAGATAGTACCCAATGGCCAGTTTATGCTAGTCAATGCTAATGGGCGAGAGAGGGCCACACGAGGATCATACGGAACAGAAGCAGAGCACTGAACAGGACCAGACCAAACCGCAGCACCCGTACTGTATTGCTGACGTTTAACCAAGTCACGGACCATCAGAAAGATGCAAGCTGTGACGGTGGGCCGTCGATCCCTGCAGACTCTCCGCAAGGCGTTTTCAATAGGTTTACTGTGCTGATTGTACCATTTCTGCGAAACCAGCTACGTCCCGACGTCATCCGCATTTCGGCGATACAATCAACAACACCATTTTCTCTTTCCCCTTTACGTCTCGGTCTATGATCGTGACAGCCAGCATGAGATTTGTTCGCGTCTAAAACATGAGGAAGGTTGTATCATTTGTCAACTACGCAAAGGGCCACGACAGTCGGTACGCAATGGTTATGTTTCTGGCCCCCAAAACGTTCAACTTGTTCTTGGCTTTGAGATGAGATCAATGAGAAGTCTGGAAATTGTTCTGCCTCAGAAAAACTGGGAAGAACTGTAACCGTCAATCATTTTAATGAACCGAACCACAAAGGTTCTGGAATTTGGGTGCGAGTGGAAGGGAAGTGTCGGTAACGGCGGAGTTTGTGGGGATACAGGTGGGTTGTTTGTCATAGTCGAGGTACCCGAGGCCTTAAGCCAACAGTCAAATCCATTGCGGCTCTGCTCAGAAATTGGAGGGAGGTCTGGTGGGAAATGAGTGAACTGGAGGGAAATTGGTGAGCAACGAGAGTTTGACACTCTCAACTCTGTTAGCGACATTAGTACTGCACAGGATTTGGCCTATCAAATTTTACCTCGAGCAGGGGATACTCCTCCTCCGCACAGACTACGCCTCAGCCCGCCCGCCCTGCCCTAAACTCTTTCTATCAACTCTAAGCCTATTTAAGAAGGGCTTCCAGGCAGCAGCAGGATGGGCTGAGGTCCTCCCCCAATTGGTTTCTAAGCATAACCTCGTCTAGAGACGCCCGAACCTATCTTCCTTTTCACCTCCTTCTCAAATCTGACTCTCATCTTTTACTCTCTTGCTTCTTTATCCTGAGGCCGCCACCAATCTGCAACTTATTTACAGGCCTTTGGGATTTTGCACGCCCTGATCCAGGAATTGCACACCCTTGTATCTATCGGCCCTCATAATACCCTTTTCCGCCCCGTCCGTTCTGTCCGGGCTTCTTTCCCTCCAATTCTGCCCGCCTTTTCTATCGCATCACATTACAACGAAACGAAACGAAACGCGGCATACACTTTCTACCGCCTGCATTTCAAATCGATACTTGTCTTTTGCTGCTATCTCTGAACAAATCGAGTTCTTTTGAGTCGATTTACCGCTTGAGGAACACATAATCAGTCCGAGTCGCGCGTTACTGCTTCCCTGTCGTTCTACGCCACCTCCACCGCATTGGCTCGCCGACAGTAAAGCTGATCAATCTCGGTCACATATTCCATCTCCGACCTGGTATGGTTAACATTTTATCTCGTCTTTACATCTGGTCCTTCGTCCCTTGACGTCGACTCTATCTTGTTTTCGCATTTCACTGGCATCACTTTCAATCGTTCGTATTGGCCAATCACCCGGCAACCTAATTCGGCCTTGGTCAACGTCCAGACCTTTCTTTCCCCCTGGGTGTGGGAATTAGGAATATCGACTGTGACTCACGTCTCCGTCCTTCACTGCCAAGCACCTGCTTGTATTCAAAGGTCAAGCTCTTGAACTAACGGGACTCCCCGATTTAGCTTCAGGACACCTCTAGCCATCAGTCGACTGTCCTTTTGACCTCATACCCACCTTACATCTAAGCCATGTCATTATCCCACCCTCGTCGAAGGACTCCGGTGACTCGCCCGGACTGCGACACCGAGAATGCCTTGTCTCTTAAGAACAGCTCTACCCTCCGTAAGGGTGCAACCTTTCACTCTCCTACATCACCATCTTTGACTTCGGACATTACATTTGTCCCTCCTACTCTGCCTCGAGCTCAGTCCCATTTGGATGATGTCGTCGATGCCAACCGTCGACGTGTGGCCTTGACTCTGAACGATATCGACGAGGCTCTTGCCAAGAATCAAGAGCTCTCTCGATCATCCGCGTCAAAGCCCAAGACTCTCCGCGACACCAGTCTTCCCATTCCTCGCGGCTTCCTCGAAGGACCTATCGTCGATCCCAAGATGACAAAAGAAGAAGAAAGGCGTACCCTGCGCCCCAGAGGTCGCTCTTCGCGGGTTGCTGAAGACCATTCCGATAGCGGTTTGGGTACATCAGTGGCTTCCACAAACGAGAAGCGGGGCGCAGTGACTGCATCAAAGGAGGCCAAGGTGCAAACACGATGCCTCACAAGGTCTGCTGCTGCAACTGCGGGGAAACTCCCTTCACTGGGACCAAGAGCTATTAACCGCATTCACGAGCACACTTTGCGCCCTTTGTTGGCCAAGCCAACCCTCAAGGAGTTTGAGCCTATTGTGCTTGACATTCCCAGGAGAATTCGATCCAAGGAAATCATCTGCTTGCGAGATCTTGAGAAAACCTTGATCTTCATGGCACCGGTAAGTCAGCTTCTGACTAATAATGGCGTTTGGGAAAATACTTATCGGACTCTGTGTTTAAAGGAGAAAGCCAAATCAGCAACCTTGTACCTGGATTTCTGCCTTACATCCGTCCGATGCATTCAAGCGACAGTCGAATATCTTAGCGACCGCGAACAAATTCGACCCGCAGACCGGCCTTATACTAACGGATACTTCCTCGACCTTAAGGATCAGATTTTAGAATACGGAAAACAACTTGCCGCCCAGGCCAACGGCGACGAAATGGATATCGACTCGTATGTACCCAGCTTTGTTCCCTTGGATCATCCAACTAACTTGCCCCAAAGATCTGATCAGATCAAGCTCTTCGGTGGCCTTCTTGAGAACGGTCGTCCTGCTGAGCTCGTCCGTGTTACCAAGGACGGCACGTATGTTTCCCTGAACACTGGCAAGCCTGTTGAGACAGACGAAGATGCGCCAATGAAGGTGAAGCGCTCCCTTAGCCAGCAACTGGAGGATGAGGAGGAGATCCAGCGATCTATGGCTCGCCGCAAAAAGAACGCTTCTCCTGAAGAACTAGCCCCTAAAAAGTGCCGTGAGCCTGGCTGCAACAAGGAGTTCAAGAGACCTTGCGATCTTACAAAGCACGAGAAGACGCACTCTCGCCCTTGGAAGTGCCCCGTCGCAACTTGCAAGTACCACACCTATGGCTGGCCAACTGAGAAGGAGATGGATCGTCACCATAACGACAAGCACTCTGATGCCCCCGCTATGTATGAGTGTTCGTTCAAGCCATGCCCCTACAAGTCAAAGCGTGAATCGAACTGCAAACAGCACATGGAGAAGGCTCACGGCTGGACCTATGTACGAACCAAGACCAACGGCAAGAAGCTGCCGTCGATCGCTGGTAGCGTTCAACAGCAAACTCCCCCTCTGGGCAACATGTCTACACCATCTTCAATCGACTACAACAATGTCCCCACGCCTCCACAAAACGACGTGACACAATTCATGGGCAACGACTTTCCTCTTTACCCCACCGACTCTGACTGGATGTCAGTTAACAACATCCCCTCTGAGGCAATGCATATGGATCTGACTCTTGATTCGACTTCGCCTGCTTCTGCTAGTTCCTACGAGCAGTATGCACCATATCAAAACGGTTCAGCTTTTATCCTTGACAACGAGGATCTTTACGCTGCTACTATGCAACTTCCGGCTCAGTTCCCCTCGCCTGAGCAAGTTGGCATGTACGGTAACCCTAAGATGATGCAACAGCAGCTGCCCATGTTCCAGCAAGTTCCTCAACAGATTCCTCAGCAGGTTCCTGTTCAGGCCGTTCCCTCTCAATTCTCGCCAACTGGTCAGGAGACTGCCATGCTCTTCACCCCCAACTCACTGAGAGATGTTGACGAGGGGTTTGATGACTCTTTTGGTGCAGATGGTATGGACTTTCCACTCTTCCCTAGCAGCAATGGTATGGTCAAGACCAATGACTATCAGCCGCTATTTGGCGAGATTCCCAGTGCCAATATGGGCTTCTCCCAAAACTCTCAGGACCCTTTCCAAATGGACTGGTCTACCGTTGATTTCTCGCAAAACTTTGACTAGGAAGTCGATGGTTTGCCGAGATATTACAATAACGAGTAAAGGGGGACTTACTCAAATTGTATAATGTCCCCTAAAAATTGCCAAACAAATTTTGGTTTGATGAGATATGAAGCTTTTATTTATAGGCCACCCAGTGCGGGATAGGGTCTTTTTCATGTATTGCAGACGTTTGCTTGCTCATTGGAGATCGCTTTCTCCTTGAGAATCACGAGGAGGATTAGGCCTTTTAAGGCTGTTTGTTTTGTTTTATCTTCCACGTGGAAGGAGGAATTATTAGCCCTCGAATTGGGTATCTGGAAGCGCAACATTGTTCATTATTCATTATCCCACCACAACTTCAGAGCGCAGTTCGATTCAGCAAGAAATGGTTTTTATTTAGCTAGTATAGAGTTCGCCTCTCCCTCGTATTATGGAAAACGAATACACCCATATCATATAAAATCCATCCTATAAGCAACAGTAGCTGTGTGCTTGATTCTTCTGAAGATGCAAGACTGATAGTCGAAGCTGGCATGCGCTAATAGATCACAAATCTCTTAAACTTTAACTTGCAAAGCTTTTGCATATACTTTAAGGATAGCCACCTAATAAACCTATGGTTACTCGACTAAATACTTGTAGCTCCCACCATAGGACGTGTAGTTTTAAAACAAACGTAAAGTTGCCGAGCATTACTTCTTCATATGCTGGGAATAACAAGTTTGAACATTCAACCCTCAGATATCAAGTGTCAGGTGGTACAGGGTAACATGCTATTAAAGTGGACCCATGATATCTCGCTTCGTGGTGGATGAACGAAACTGCCCCAGGCAACTCTTTCAACCGCGTCCCTTTACCTACAACGCGCAAGATGTGTGGAATCCATGCTTCCATCAACATAAGCCCCGACCAGGCCCTCTCGTCAGAGCTGGAGCGATGCCTTTGCAACAGAGGACCAGATCACACTGGTATTGTGAAGACACAGCTCGACAACAGCCACGGTGAACTGTTTCTCACCTTCACGTCGACTGTCCTGTCGCTACGGGGAGATCACGTAGCGAGACAGCCATTCGTCGACCCTGTCACAGAATCTGTTCTTTGCTGGAATGGGGAGGCCTGGGCTCTTCGAGGAGAGCCCGTGCAGGGCAACGATGGCGAGGCTATTCTAGCTCTGCTGGCGGAAACCAGCAAGGGCTCAGGAGATGTTATGGGTGTTTTGCGAGACATCGAAGGACCGTTCGCATTCATCTATCTGGACAAACCTGCCAAGCGGCTTTACTACGGGCGTGATCGCCTGGGTCGTCGGTCTTTGCTTGTCAAAGACGGACTTCCCTTTTCCCTATCAAGCATTGCTGAGACGCCAGTCGACGGATGGACTGAAGTTGAAGCTGATGGATGCTATACCCTGGATTTGAGTGCTGATGTTTTTGTTGGACTTGTGCCAGAGCGACATGATTGGACTGCAGATACCTCTTTGGTGAGTTTTGCGTGAGTATTACCTCGAAAAGCCTGCTACTTACGTTGTCAGGTGTCGAGTATTGGCGTGTTCAACGATAAGATTCCACAAAAAAGTTCTGCACTGGAGCCAAACTCTACATCCGTGCAGGAGCTACATTCTCGCCTGGTCGAGTCTCTCCGACTGCGAGTTTTAGACGTCCCACTACCCCCAAACGCTACAGCGACGGATGCACGAGTCGCGGTGCTCTTCTCAGGCGGCCTCGACTGCACCGTGCTCGCGCGATTATGCCATGACATGATTCTGCCAGACCAGTGCATTGACTTGATCAATGTGGCGTTTGAGAACCCTAGAATAGCAGGGCAATTTCCCGATTTGTCACGAGAGGAACTCTATGAAAAGTGCCCGGATCGAATGACAGGGAGAAATGCGTTTGCAGAGCTCAGCCACGTTTGCCCCGGCAGGACATGGCGGTTCGTGACTGTAGGTGAACAAGGGACGCACAGAGATTAAGCACTGACTCGTCACAGGTAAACGTGCCTTATGCCGAAAATCTGGAGCACCGACCTGAGGTTATTCGGCTAATTTATCCCCACAATACAGAGATGGACTTGTCGATCGCCTGTGCCCTGTACTTTGCCGCGAGAGGACGAGGGCTAGGCGAGACGAGTACAGAAGCGACACCGCAGCCCTACAGTACGACAGCACGAGTGTTGCTATCCGGCCTGGGAGCCGATGAACTGTTTGGCGGATACGGTCGACACGGTGTAGCCTACACGCAGCGTGGTTACGCTGGAGTTGTAAAGGAGCTGAAGCTCGACGTGAGCCGGCTCGGAAAGAGGAATCTCGGTCGAGACGACCGGGCCATGTCACACTGGGGTCGAGAAGTAAGGTTTCCGTACCTTGATGAGCGGCTCGTCAAATGGGCGATTGAGACTCCAGTGTGTGAGAAGTGTGATTTTGAGAATGCAGGTGGTGAAGGGATTCTAGATGCAGAGAAGAGGGTGTTGAGACTTGTTGCGCAGTCTTTGGGGATGGGTTCTGTTTCACGAGAGAAGAAGCGAGCTGTAAGTGATTGTTTGGTGTGGTGATTGATTACTGATTTCTAACGAGTTGTGATAGATACAATTTGGTGCGAGAACTGCCAAAATGGAGAGTGGAAAGACCAAAGGAACAACACTTCTTTCATGATATGCATTCGATATGATGTTTTCATGATTGATGTTATAGTCTGTGATAGTCAAGTGACTAAGCGGACTGGGTGCGGACGGACCTTCAACTCTGCTGTGATGATTCTTCAGATACTTCCGAGGCATGAAACATGGGACCTGAAGCGAACATTGATTTGAATGTTGAGCGTTTGCGGGGGGATACTTTGTTATCTACTGCTAACCCTTTGTTCTGATTTGTTCATGACGTGGATCATGTCAATGAGGTCGTAAAGGCAAGTCTGAGCTTGAGTTGAAGGTGGTCGTTGTAAGGATGATTTAGATGATGGCATTGATTGATAGATGGATGACATAAATGGCATGGAAAAGCTATGACAATTGGATTGATTGACCCACCTCGAAGAATAAACGAACAATTCGAGTGAAAAGAGATGATGCAGATACGAGACGATACCCCTGCTTGTTGCATGTGGTAGCATCGATAGAAGGGACGGGAGGTTTGAGAGGTCTGCGATGTAGCCGAATTATCCGCGCCGAGCATGTCATGTCGTAAAGACTGACTATCGCAATTGAAACAAGCGCAGATCCGATCAAATATCGCATCATAATGACATTTCTTTCATTGTGTCTTACGGCAGGGCGGTAGGCATAGCTCAGCGCCAAGAGAGGAATTCAATCATTCCGTTACCGTTCAACACCGATGAAAACTACCAAATATAGCAGGGAGATAGATTCCCACTGTTTTGCATGGCATGGGCGGCTGGAAGTTCTATGGGCTGTGGGCGGTGGCCAACTGAAAGCAGTGGTTCTTGGTGCGACGAGCCCCTGCATATTCCGTAGGGTCGAATCGAGCCGATACGATGATTACCAAGAGTTTGGGCGGTTCAGGCACACTTTAGCCCCCCTCCCCTGTAAACAACCCCTGATCCTTGGTACTTTCAGGTGTCTTTCAGGTCGGGTTGCCTCCTCCATCGGCGCGCTTCCGAATGGAGTCGAGGGGCGAGAGTTTCAAACGTCAGTCTGGCGCGCGCCAAAAAAGTGTATCCGTCCGAGCCTGGAAGAACCAAAGGGAGGGTTTCTTCCTTTCTTTATTAGTTCAATTGTTCCGCATTCATTTTTCTCAATGACTTCGTTTTTTTGTATTATTCTCTCTTTTTTCTAACCAATTGATATTATTATTCTGTCTTTTTTCTTTACTATAGTTATTTCCGTTCTTTATTTCCTTCCACTGTCTTTTACAACAATACAATCAATACCAATCGAGAACCTACGAAAGAATATATTTTCTCTTTCTTTCAATATCAACAACAAATTCCTTCCTTATTCTCATTATTCTATACCGGTTTCTTAATGCTTGGAAACTTTATCGGGGTCAGGGACCAGGATTCCTATTCGAACTCGACATTTCTATCTCCCACGTCTGCGACGGGTTACAGCAGCTTCTCTACCAACAACAATCAATATCAACAAGAAAACGACGACAATATGCGCAAAGGAACACGCCCTCCTCCGCTGAACCTCAGCATCGTCCCGAGGCCGCGGTCTCTCCCGCGACTCTCGACGACCCCTCAGCCCATTGCCAGGGAGGTCACTCCGCTACTGACACCTCTCCCGGAAGAAGTTGATGAACCGTCAGGACCTGTCCTTCGGGCTGTCAGGATCGCGGTGGATTTCATGCAGATTGTTTCATGTCTGCTCGTCATTCTGATGCTGGCCGTCTTTCTTGTTTCATATACCGGAGCAGTCAACTCCTGTCATGGGTATGTTTCCATCCGATCCACCTATCCTTGTGTATACAATCGCATTGTATATCTTGAGGCTCAAACAAGCGAAACCCGGCTAACTTTTTAATCCTGTAGCCTCAAAGCATTCGTTCTTATCGCGGCTCTCGCTTGCGACGTTGGCCTTGGCATGTGGTCCATCGTCAACCATGATAAGCAATGGTCCAGTTCCGCTGTCCTACTAAGGACATTCACAGCGTCATTGCTTATCGGCAGTCTGGTCTCCTTCCTTGCAGTGGACGGAGTCTTCCCAGAAGATTACACATACTGGGGTCTACCTCTATCACAAGCCGGTGCGCCGGTACTGAGTCTTATCTCTGCCATTCTGTAAGTTCACCCGTGACTTGGCTCTTATCTCCAAATGCCATGTACTAATCATATCTCTAGTGGATGGGATTTTGTTCACATTGTGCTATCTCAGCAAACAACAGAGTGCTGGGCTCGACTGGGCTCCTGGTGGCAACGACAAAAGATCCGAAGAAGATTCATGTCCAACAGGGGACATAAACGAGGACGAAGCGGACCCTGGTGGTTCAACTCTCGGCAGTCAGCCTTGGAGAAGAGAGGCTGGAGCTGTGTCTCATCATGAGTAATGACCTTTTCTATTGTTAATAAGAAGGAGGAGGAGAGTGAAGTTGACTTGAAAATATAATATGGAGCATGAGGTTCGGGATAATTGTACCCGGTCTCACTTATCCATGCATGCAGATCCCATGACTGTTGGGATAGAAGCATATAGCAGGGGACAGAGTACGAAGTGGATGTAATAACTATCTGGTGCATGTCCTTATCATTGGCATGGTACAGACTGGAAAAGGAACACCTATTAAGTGGCACAGACCACAGCTTATGAATACGTTCTCTTGTTCAATCTGATTTATCTCGGTGGCGTCAAGAATACAGCTGTTGAATTGGAACATCAAGCTCAAGTGATGATGATATCTGAGTTGGTTTGGTATAGGGTATGATATCCAATATCAGCATCTCATCTTCGACAGTGAAAGAACAATATTTTAGATTGACTCGCAACAAATACCGAGGTGGAGAGTGTTTTACAATAGTAAGAACGCGTATGGTCTACTGTTCTGTCTATCTATTGTGCTAAGATCATCCATCTATCTTTTCTTTTGTTGTTGTGCCGTGTCCCAACCATTATCATCGCCAAGTCAATAACATGACTCGATACTGGGCACTGACAAGTGGATTGCTGAGCAGAACTGTATGTAGGCCTAATCAATGGCAAGTTCCGTTATTGAAGAGGATCCTAAGTTACAATTTTTTTTTTTTTTTTTACAGACGGCATTGCCTAGGACTCATACTAAAGAGTGGGAATAAATGCCAATATGATTGATTTGTTATTAATTCCGCTGTGGATGCTGTCTACTAAGGTAGTTGGTCGGTTCTCGGCACAGATTGTGTAGAGAGTCAGGAGACTCATTTCGGAGTCCTGACTAACACGAACATTCATACAAGAGTCAAGACCTGAGAGATATTCCACTATAACTGCTCGCCAAGCTTCTCGGTTAACATGTGTCTAGCAGCATGTGAACAAGTGAATGTTAGTAGTGCTGAAGGTGAACAAAGCTTTGGGGTCACTTAAACAAAACTTGATTGATGATCAAGGTCCATGCTGATAGAGACTAGAACAAGCCAGGTCCTAACTCAGAAACAATAGCCACTTGTACACGTAGTACTCTAACTGCATGGCTAGCAAAGAGCAGCATGGCGAAGCCATCACCGTCACCACCAAAAGACAATGAACCGTGCGTAAGCCGCTATTGGGGTTTACCAGAGCCTGAAACCTTCAAGCAAGAGAGAATAAACAAAAATAAAATATTCCCCGCAGCGGCAGGAAAGACTGCGTCTGGACCTTGGAGTCTTCTTCGGTGCTCCACTGCTCAGCCGTGCCTGAACGGTACCTACGCCACCGTATCGTTCAGGGGAGGGTTTACTCTGAGCTGCTAGTACCATACGGGTTATCGTTTCGTGATGCATTTGTCTTGAGCATCTGAAGAAACAATGTTATGTAGCAATTAATAAGAAAGACCTACACTGACTAAGTATCTACTAGCAGGCGGGATGGGATAAGAAACATGTCAATCATCTCATTAACAGATCACGTCAACAAGAGATAATGTCGATCTGCCGAAGCTCGAAACCTAGAAGATCCCCACCTCCACAGAGAGGGACACTCGATTGAGTTATCCTGGTCAAGCATTATCCCATGTCATGATTAGAGATGTATCCGTATGTAACAAGTAGATGACTTCTCTCCACGCACCACCAACTTTAAAAATAACCATGCAGGCTATCCGCAACTTTCTGTTGCAGGTTCCCATTGAGTATCTCAGCGACGTTTCTTCAAGGACGTTCCCTGAAAGAAGCAAGACTCAACTGAAGTCGTGCAGCTATTTTCTCAGTCCTGAAACAACTTTCTTTTTCAGTCGGGTAATTAAACTAAACTCGACGCCTCAAAAACACTAACGTTCAAGCCGTCAACTTAACCTCTTTTAGGTTAGAGCTGCGAATTGATTTGCTGGATCGATCAGTGCGGCCCGAGACAATGAAACATTTATCCTGGTCTTGCTGAAGAGAGGAGACCGTGAACTCCTTTTTGTTAGATGGGAACTCCAAGACTCTTGTTCAGTCTGTAAACGAGGAGAGGCAATACACTCTACTAGAGAAGGACCATCTATCGAGATAATGAGATTTGTCTGTAAGAGAAGTAAATTGTCTGTATAATTCCAATGGCCTCATTGTATGTCATAGTAAATGCTTCATCCTTGACCATCCCCTGCACTTTCAAGATAACTTCTTCAACCAATAGCACAACAAAACAAAGTAAAACAAAACCACGCGACTGGCATAGCGCTCAACGGAATGCCCGTAGCCAAGACCAATAGACACAAAGAAGAAAGGCCCAAGTAACGATCCAGAGCCCGAATGATAACCCAGGCCATCAGTCTGTGCTACCCAAAGTTGACCCCCAGACCATCCTCCTCCTGGTTAGTAGCTCGTGGATGATGCCTGCTCCTTTACAAGTCGACTACATCCAGACTCTTCTGTCACGTCGTGCTTGGACCTCTCATCACCACCACCGTTGGACCTTGCGCACCGAAGGCTATCGGATCACTAACAGGGTGGTAATTTTGAGGAATGCCTCGTGCTCAGTCAGGACAGAACGGTAGTACTACTTCGGTTGGAGGGAAAGATAAAAATACATTGGGCTTCAGAGAGAAGAGAAGAAAGATTGTGGCTATATAAGAGGTCTGAGTAGCCAGTATCATCAACAGTTTCTCATCAGCATCATCTCTTCATTCTTTCAACTCATTCACTTAACTTCAATTCACTTCACAGCCTTAACGGCATATCTTGACATTCTTTTTACAACTTACAAGCTATAAAGCTCACCATCGTTTATCACACAAACAAAAAACACGCACACAAACAGCAAACATGTACTTCTCCAACATCCTCGTCACCCTGGCCTCGATGGCCACCATGGTTTCTGCCATCCCCGCTCCTGATGCCCTCCTCGACACCACCTCAAGCATCTCCCCCGCCGACTTCACCATCAACCTCGACAAGACCGGCTCCGCTCTCGAGGCCCGCACCAGCTTCTCCTGCCCCGGTGCCATGTCCTACTGCCCTTGGACCAAGGCCTGCTCTTGCCCCGTCGGACAGTCCTGGGACGCCCGATCCAAGCGATGCGCCGGCACCAAGACCACCGGCTGCTACGCCAAGCCCAAGGCCAGTGCCTACGTCAGCGCCGGTGTCGATGTCAATCTCGGCACTTACTGTGCTGCTTCCCCCTACAAGATTGTCAAGTACGATACCCGCCACTCTTACTGCCAGGCCAGCCTCAAGAACACCGTCTTCCTTGCCCCTCTGGCCGTTGGTGCTGAGATTGCCCTCTATGGCGGTGCTGCCATCGATGTCAAGGCCAAGGCTAGTGTCAGCCTCCGAGCCGTCTGCTCTGGTCTTGCTGGTCTCTACCTCGAGAGCTCTGTCGATGCTGTCGCCCTCTTCAACACCAACAAGTACGGATACTCTGTCCGCCCTGGTAGCGTCACTGGTGGTCTCTCTTTCGCCATTACCGACTCTATCAAGTCTCTGACCTGCCGCCTCGGCCTCGGAAACTGCGCTGTCTACGACTGTGTCTCTTACTGCTCCAAAGGCTGCAAGAACTACATTGACGTCCGCGGCAACGTCGGTGGCTACGTCAACGGCCTTGCTGGCTTCTGCGTTGTCAAGGACTCCGTTCTCTTCGTCAACAAGGTTGGTGCTTGCGCTACCCTCAAGATCGAGGGACTCCTCCGCATTGTTGGCAGCATTCACGCCAGCATCAAGGGTCTCTTCAAGTGCAACTGCTAAGCGGTTAGCAATGATCTACAAATGATGTACAAGAGTGGTTGACTGAACTGATCCGGGTAATAATGGCTTAATTTTTAATGGTTGGAGGAATGTTGAAAGATGTACTTTGTCTTGGTTTCGGATTACCGGATGATCTGATGCCCTCACGCCTGCTGGCTCCTGTCTTGATGTATTTCGTAAATTAATTGAATAATCTCATATGATAAAATTGCAGACTCACCTATGTAATGAACACTGTGTTAGTGATGAGCCAGAAGAAAGGGTACGATAGTAACTTGATCAAATTTATTCTGGCCTTTTTCTATCCTGGGTTCAGCTCCTTACACAACTCCTAGGTATGCACTGCTTGCTACCAGACCTCTAACCAACCGAAAAAGAACGTCCTAAGAAAAACTATGCCATAGTAAATTCCTGCAACTTTTCCCATTAAGCGCCCACAGGTTCCATAATCTGACGCCCAGCCCTGTCTACCAAAAAGTGACTGAACGACTCTTCATCATTGTCGTCCATAAGAATTGATCTGTCTTCTGTCTCGGGCAGTAGTTTGGAGTACAGCCCCTCACCAGCCTTTGCCCAAGTGGGTGGCAAGACATTCACGTTGTCCTCTTCGGGAGCACTTGTAATGACCTCGATGACGCGAGTGCGTTTTAGAATCTTCTTGGTTGTCTTTTGCTTATGCTTAGCCGCTTTGTTGAGAAGCACATGACCGTGTCGAGGCTTCTCATCATGCTTTGATGCCTTGACAGGACGAGAAGTGTTCGATAATTGACTCTCCCATTCGGGCGAGTCAAACATTGGTAGGTCAGGATGTCGTTTTGAGACAGAAACAAGAATGTCAGCCAGGAGATTGGGTTTCAGTTGATCACAGAACGACAGAATGTTAAGCATATCTGTCCTCGACATGGTATCAAAATACTCAGCTCGCTATCGTGGTATTAGCTGTGATGTCCTATTGATCTTCCATGGTGTGATACTTACTGAATTGCGTGGAGCCTGACCAGCACCGAATCCTACCAGATAAGGCTTTGCGGGAACGACACCTCCAGGGAGGGACGATAGCCGCTTTTGACGAAGACGATCAATTTCCTGTTGTCGATGCTGACTGACCCTGCCTCTCATTTTGGTTGCTTGCTCCCTGCCTGCAGTACACGATACACAGGTGAAGTTCGAGGGAATTGTGGTCTCATCACTGATGACAGGCGAGTGGCATTTCTGATGCCAATGTTTGAGACAACTGATGCAAGTAACTAAAGGACTGGCTTGGCTTGGGCCGTTGCACTTGGAACAACGATCTTCCTGTTCTGTGGATTGAATTTGAATGCCTGATTGTTGAGATGGCGAGGGGCCCTTCCAGGAGAATGGAATGGTGCTTTTGGTAAAGTCTACCTTGGCGGATGATTCATCTCGCTTTCGTTTCACGCCGCTGTTGAATGAGCCTACTGTTATCGATTGACCTTGCTTTGTTGGTGTAGGTATTGATAGAGTGACCTTCGAATTTGCGGTGGTTACACCTCCGGAGCTCTGATTGTTTCGCAATTGGGAATTGTCATTGAGGCGTCTCAAAATGGCCGAGCTATCAGATGAGAACTGAGACGTGTATGAGGGCTGTTTCGGCGTCGGTGGCGATAAAGGATTAACGTTTATGACAGTGTCTTGTGCTGTTATAGAAACTCCTTCCACAGGGTCTGAATCTTGCACGTGAATTTCATCTGAGAGTTGATCCATCGTTGTTGGTTTCTCGTGATGCCAAGAAGTTTTGGGGTTATTAGTGGCCGTGTATGAGTGATGAGAAGCAGGACGGCAATGTTGGTCTTCCAAAATTGTAAGGATGGTTGAGAAAACCTCTTTACTAAAGTAAATTGGTTCGTATAATAAAGAGTTTTTGAGGGTTCTCGTGCCAAAGTTGGCTATTGTTGAGGATAGAATCAGGAGATTCCATTTAATTTACATGGCTCAAAGATGTTCTGTTAGAATCAGCGACACGAGGTCACGTGGGTGTCATTCAATCCTTTTCTAAGTGCGGCAGGTACCCGAGGTGTCATTCACTTACTGCCTGCCTATTATTTTCAGTGCATAACGATAGAAACACTCCCATCAATTAAATCTATTGGTTTATTCTCTTTAAATTTACCCGTATACCTGACAGTGACTCTATTAGTAATCTATCCAATAACTCCCTTTTCTCTCAATACATCAACTTCAGCTTCACTCAACCCAAGATGCTCTTGTAGCACCTCATTTGTGTGTTGTCCCAGCATGGGCGGTGCGCTGCGAATAGTAGGGGGCGTTTCCGAAAACTTGACAGGCGTGTTGACCATTTTTAAAGGACCGCACTCGTCGTGTTCCATCTCGATCACCATATTGCGGGCTTTTGTATGTTCGTGGTTAAGTGTTCCTTGGATGTCGTTAATGGCAGCATAAGGTAAACCCTTGCCCTCAAAAATCTCGAGCCATTCCTGAGTTGTCTTCAGTTTCGTCATGGCCTCAATCTGTGCCTCTAGATCGTTCCGGTTTGTGACTCTGTCGGCGTTGGTCTTGTAGCGTACGTCGTCCTTCCACTGGGGCTGACCGAGACCATCACAGAGAACACCGAAAAGGCGATCGTTGCCTCCGCCAAAGAGAATACCTCCATCCTTGGTCTCGAATGATTTGTATGGTACAATGGAAGCTGCGAGATTCAGTACTGACAGATTTCGAGTCTCATGTGCTAGCTAGACTTACGATGAGCTGTGCCCCAGCGTCCTGAATCCTTCTTTCCACTGACCAAACAGCTGCTGGCGATATTTGCCAACGTCGCTGTCTGACAATCACTCAATGCAACGTCGATGTGTTGGCCTTTCCCGGAATTGGCCCTGCCAAGGAGAGCAGCCATGACGCTATTGCTGGTATAAAGGCCAGTCGTCAGGTCTGTCACTGCAACACCAACCTTTACTGGTGGCCCATCTCTTTCACCAGTGATGTGCATGAGGCCAAATTCGGCTTCCACCATAACGTCGTAGCCTGCTCGATTTGAGTAAGGCCCTGTCTGACCGTAGCCGGTGATGGAGGCGTATATTAGACCTGGGTTGATCTTGCGGAGAGTCTCATAGTCCATGGAATACTTCTTCAGTGTCCCTGGGAGGTAATTCTCGACCAAGACATCACATTTTGCCGCAAGCTTGTGAAGGACTTGGACACCTTCTTCATGCTGGAAGGATAGGCCAAGTGACTTTTTGTTTCGGTTTGCCTGTGAATGACATGAGATGAGTGCTTTTGAATTATGAGCCCGCGACCTACCCCTAGAAAGTACGCCGACTCTCCAGGCCCTTTGGCCGATGACCCTTCCTTGTATTTGGCATACGGAGGTCCCCATGCCCTGGTGTCGTCACCTCGAGTAGGGTGCTCGATTTTGATCACCTCAGCTCTGTACGTTGGCCATGTCAAAACGGCCCAAGTATGTAATCTGACATGAGCAGACTTACCCAAGATCGCCCAAAATCTGAGTACAATATGGCTGCGGGAGTCAGCAGCTGTCTAGCGTAAATCCTAGGGGAACAAGCTCACCCCTGCCAAGACTCTGGTCATGTCCAGCACGCGAATGCCCTCGAGTGGAAGTCCGGTTTCAACGGCACTGGAATATCGACGGAGGCCGCGTGCATAGCCATTGATGAGCGTGGGCTTGGACTTTAAAGTCCGGGTAGCAAAGGAGGATAAACTCATCCTTGGCAGACAATATAGATGATAGGATAGAGATTGAGTTTTAATGAGAATATGAGCAATCGAGTAATTCAGTTATAGTAGTTTGTATATACGAATGAATACATATAATGTACACCGATTATCGGAACCGGATGGTTAGTTACGGAGCTGATCTGGAGCTTTAAAGAGCTGCGGGGATCTTCACCTCGGCTTTTGCGGGTGACGGATGACCCAATCATCACGGCCTCGGTGCCGAGTGTCAAGTTGCCGTTTCTAGATTTATTCGGCTCCGAATAATGGAGTAGTAATTAGTTCCCCAGATACAGTTAAACTTTATTGATTTGCTAATTAGATACCTTGTATGGTTTGGTGTTTTCGGCCATGTTGATATTTTGCCGTGTAAATACTGGTAAGCTATTCTCAAAACAAGTATGTATTTTGACCATTTGAGGAAGTTGAATTCTTGCTAACAGAGGAGAGAAAGGAAGGGGAAGTATTATGATCACTCGTGTTAAGTATATGACCTTTTGGTGGAGGTGTCTTATCTTCAACCATTATCAAACTCGCGATACCCATAAGCCGCGTAGCATCACTTGTAATATTTCTTTTCCAAAAGAGCTGAGCCTGTGAGCTTGCGCCAGTGTCATGCGTAGCATTCTGGCCGCAGCATATGTCGATCATTCTTATTAAGAGTCGATTGACGAAGCTTCCTTCAGCCACAATCGATTTCGTTATCAGTACTACCCTGACCAAAACTAGCTTGAAGCTTTACAACAAAGACCAGAATAACAGACCAGACTGTTCTTTTATTTCCAAGACTTCGTCAATTTTAGTAATAATAATTATAGAATTATTCGGCTCGTCATAATTCCGTTATCCATCTTTAGCTGAACAAAACAACGCACCCTATGCAATGCCGTTGATATCATCCATGTCTCATATTCAGCTCGATTATAGGCTCAAAATAACCACAGCCACCACTGGGCTCGTATTAGTACTTGGGGTGTTGCTCCCCTGCTCTTGATCGGGACAACGAGAATAGGGTTTCTTCGCTCTCGTCTCTTTATCTCTTGTCTTGGCTGCACTCTAGAACCTGGAAAAGACTTTGATCCTTGTTCACGCTGGTGTCACGCTTCCTCTTGGCGATCTATTTTCCAACCAAACCAACTTACCGTATGATTAATCCATGCATATATCAGACAAAGAATATATCAGAAATGCATACAGTTTGCTTCCAAGATAGATTTGAAAAGTCTAGAATGAAAGGCTAATCGTATCAACCACGGCATTTAAGCCAGAATTAAGCTTGTCTGCCGATAATTCTCGTTCTCTTAGACCCTGAAACCGCATCCCTGGCCTTGGCTCCCATTTATAGAACCGACGCCTTAAGCGTGCGAGCCGTTGTGCACCCATCCATATCGCTGATCAGCCCAAAAATTAAGCTCAAGTTTACAGAAAGAGAAAGTAACCCAGCACAACTTTCTTACGTGGCATCGGCGGCGCATACTGGCCGTTTCCCCGTTGCTAGGATGATCCCATCTACGTTAGACTATGGCTTGCATCTTATGCTTTTGCGGTGGTGGTTCCCCGGCATAAGCCAATCCTTGGAATGTCTCAAAAAACTTATTATGGCAACATCTGCTGTTATTAAAGTAAACATTCGGCATGTCACCGTCTATCTCGTCTATCGTCTATCCTCTCGTTTATCGTATTCCTTTCCGCTCGCTATCCTTTCTGTCATCATCATCATCATCATGCCTATTTTCAGCTACCTCTGCTCGTGGGTGAAGCCACGCCAGAGTCGTAGTGATGAACCATCAACTTCCTTCTCCTTTGGCAAGAAAAAAAGAACAAAGTCAGCCCTCAGCAAAACAGACGACCCTGATCACCAGAGGTCGACCATGATTCGCAAATCATTGCAAAGTCGGACATCCTCCAGAACGACCGCCCGACCTGAAGATAACAACAACTACGACACTGAGGAAGAAGACAGCAGCACAAGTCTAAGGACAGACTGGAAGGCTTATGAAGCTGATATTCAACGAAACAAGTCGACCCTGATGCGAAGCCATCCTGGCGTCGACCGCGCCAGGATACAGACTCGCGCAGGCTCTTCATCATCTCGACCTCAACCACAGTCTTTTGGGTCCAGCTCCACGAACCCCTACTCCCCAACTTCACCAACAATGTCAGAGTCAACCTCCAGCCCAGCTTCACCTGGGTTTGGAAGAATTTTCTGATAGCCCCAAACCCAGAGCATGAACAATGAAACATGAATTGACCAAACTACCACGACATACCGACATATCGACTTGATACGAATGAACTGAACACCCATGAAGGAAATGCATATATCAAAGGTCTGATGGCGTTAAAAACACAAATCTCGTCTTATATCATGTAAGGCGTATTTATATTGTAATTGGAGTATTGATTTTGTAAATACCGTTTCAACTATAATACCATAAAGTCAACACTTTCAAAGTGATTAGGCTCCAATCTCGTTTGTGACCTTGACAAACTTCTCCCACTGTCTCCAGGCTTCACCGCTCTTAAGAGCCCAGCGAGCTCTTCGCACACCCTCCTTCCAGCGCAAGCCACCAGGGCCACGCTCGGTGATGACCTTGCCGTCGTCTCCCTCGCCCATGTTGCTGGTATCAGCCTCGCAGATACCAGATGTGACAAGGAGAGCGGCAGTGTTGAGAAGGACAAACTCGAGGATGGGATCATTATCAGGGAGCTCGTTGTGAAGGATCCGGGACAGAATCTCTGCGTTCTCAGAAGGCTCCTTGCCAGAGGAGACTGTGTTGAGGGGATGAGTGCTCAGACCAAAGTCGCTGGGGTGCACGGTGAAATGTTCAACCTCGAGCTTTCCAGAACTGGTCTCATTGACCTTCCAGCACAGGGTGTTTCCAGCACAGCTGACCTCGTCGAGATCCTCTTCACCACAAATGATGAGAGCTTTCTTGAAACCGGCCATGCATAGCGCCTCAGCAAAAGCAGGGCCGAGATCTCGTCTGCCGACACCAATGACACGAGCCTCGAGAACGTCCTCGACAGGGTTGGCCAAGGGGCCCAGGTTGTTGAAGACTGTCCTCCAAGGGAGCTGCTTACGGATAGGTGCAACGTAGCGCATGCCGGTGTGGAACACAGGGGCGAACAGGAATGTGTAGTTGGTCTCCGAGTATGCCTTGGCCAAAGTGTCTGGGCGGACAGCACTGATGATAGGAGGCTGAGGCCTCATGCAGGCGACCAAGTCGGCGCTACCAGACTTTGAAGTGCTGGCTTTGTTGCCATGCTTTGAGACCATGAGCAGAGCTGAGGCCAGGATGGATGAGGTGGTGCTGATGTTGAAGGTATCATGGCCGTCACCTCCTGTACCAACAATGTCACACTAAGAGGGTTAGTCAAGTATTCGATAAATAAATAAGCTTGGCTGATCGAAACACTCACCAGTCCACCTCTGTAAGCTCCCTCTTTTCTTCCTCTTCGTTCAATGACTTTTTTGAGCTCCTCGACAGGAATGGGTGCAGCTGCTTCCCGCATGACACGGGCACACTCAGCGAGGACATCTGCTCTGAAATCAAGCTTTGTGAAATGCAAAGCCATGAGAAGAGAAGCTGTTTGAGCTTCGGTGACCTGGTTTGTGAAGAAGTGAGAGATGGCCTCGGCAATCTCCTGAGGAGAGACGGCGGACTCAGCAGGCCAGAGCTTGGTGAGAAGAGGTTTGATATTGACAGGCGGAAGGGCCTTTTGCCCACTGTCTTGGGATTGAGATGCCATCTTGTTGTGGTTGTGTTACTGAGACAGGAAGGAGCAGATAGCGATTGAATGAGAGTGAAGCCGAAAAAGGAATTGCTTGGATTCGTCTCGTCCTCGTCCAACTTTTGAATGTTTGTTCTATTGACTCAAATGTGTTGAATGAGTGAGTGAGTCGACAGAGTACGTACTGCGGAGTGCTCCATTAGAGCTGCATGATTGGCCGACTTCGGACAATGCAAACTCTAGTGTTTAAAGTTGGACAAAGAAAGGTAGACAAAAATAAAGAAGCATTTCATGATGTACAGACAATAACAAGAAAGGTTATAGGGGTTTGAGTTTTTATGTCATTTACCACTGGCTGGCTGAAGCTGAAGACATTGTTGTCAGCCAATTCTTGACTATAGTCCAACAATCATACATATACACACATCATTCAGTGAGAATCTAGAAAAGATATCACAAAGGAATGACGTCGAAAGAGGAGCTTTGCTGGAATTGCTAACGCCTTGGCACTAAAAAAGTATCCGCTGTGGCTGGAACAATAGGAACAACTTCAGAGTCCTAGGCTAGGAGGAGCCTTTTACTCTGCCTTGGGACATCGAAATCTCTGGCTGCTGCGAGAACAAAGAAAGATTCAATTAGTCAGCTAATTCATGTTAATTAAGTTCAAGTGAAGTCATCACGTGATGGCCGTAACCGGGAGGCGGCAACTTTGGCTAGATATACTTCATGATGACTGATTGTATGTGGGCAGACTTTACGTTGAAGGAGGAAGAAGTGCAGAAAAGCACTTTTATGTGTGTGGTTGCTGCTTCAACTCTATAAATTATGACTCTTAGCTATTGAGTAAGGGACGAAGTTAGTATTAGTAAATCAACACACAGCCTCCAATTCACGACAGACTTGGTACCTTTAATCATACAGAATAATTAGGCAGAAGCACTCATTGTAGATGTCATCCGTATAAGGTTAATGTAACCATGGTATTACTTCTGTACGCTTCTCATGCCTAAAAGTGAGCACGAGTGTAAATCTCAGCTTAGTCATCCAGAATCCACTCTTAATCGCGGTCGCAAGAACAAAGCACACGACAACCAACCTGCACTCTCCAACAAACAGCGTTACCTACGCCGCCATTCCTTTCAGCGAGATGATGCCCCCGAACGGAAAAGACAGCCCTACTTTCCAAGAAGACCTCAGCAATGTCCTAGTCTGCCCTGAATGCAACATCAACCCTCCTAACCTAGTCGACGAGTGGTCCAGCGGCGATACAGTTTGTTCAGACTGCGGCCTTGTGGTCGGAAGCCGCATTATCGACACGAGATCCGAATGGAGAACTTTTGCGAACGACGACCAGGGAGGTGACGATCCCAGTCGTGTCGGTGGTCCTCAGGATGAGTTCGTCGAGGGACAGCAGCTCGCTACCACTGTAGCCTTTTCCGACTCCAAGGCACACAAGGCTCTTTCGCGAACGCAAAACAACACCACGCAGGACAAAGCACAGAAGGGTCTCATGCTCGCGTACAAGGAAATCGTCTCTCTTTGCGAAGCTATCAACATGGGACAGAACGTTTCAAACGCGGCCAAGCACATCTTCAAGCTCGTCGACAAGCACAAGTTCCTCAAGGGCAAACCCCAAGAAGCCGTCATCGCAGGTTGCATTTTCATCGCCTGCCGACAGAACAACGTACCTAGAACCTTTCGAGAAATCTTCAACTTGACCAGTGTGAGCAAGAAGGAAGTCGGTCGAGTCTTCAAGCAGCTCCAAAGCTTCTTGCAAAAGCTGCAGGAGCAGGACGGCGAGGCTACAGGTCTAAATACAGTCACCAACTACGAAAACACATCCGTGGGCGCCGAGGATCTCTGTGGTCGTTACGTATCCCAGCTCGGTCTCAGAAACCAGCAAAAGGTGGCCAAGATCTCTCGCGATCTGGCCGAACAGGCCAACAACATCTCGGATCTTGCCGGACGATCACCGTTGTCGGTGGCTGCAGCGTGTATCTTTATGGCATGCCACATTGTTGGAGAAGCCTGCCCGTCACACCTGATTGCTAAGCAGGCAGGTGTCAGTGACGGGACAGTTAAGACAGCATACAAATTTCTGTATGGTGCACGCAAGCAGTTGGTTAAGAAGGAATGGCTTGTTGATAACGGCACCAGCATGGATTCTCTGCCTCAGGCCAACGTTAATGTTTCAGCATAAATACAATTCAAGGATGGGACAAGGCACTCTTATACCTCGGGGCTCTATTTTCAGGCGGCGTTTGGGGAGTTGACGACAAATAGTCTTATTGTCTTCTTTCTTTCTTTCTTTCTTTTTTTTTTTTTTTTTTTTTTTTTTTTTAAAAAAAAAAAAAAAAGTTGTTATAGCGATGAACCCTATTAAACAAATACAAACATGCTGTTTCAAGGCGCATGCATGTCTTTCCTGGGCAGAAGAAACTTGACTCTGGTGACTTTCAAAACAATGCATGCTCTTGGGCTGTCTGTTTTTCGTATGTTGAATAAGACTGGGTCTCTATTTTTCAATTTTTTTTTTAATAAGTTTTCTCATCTCCCCCGATATATTGTGTCGTCCCATGTTCGGAAGCAAGCATGCAGAGAGGAAGAGTGACTTGCATATACCGTGGTCATTACGCTATTACGCAGGAGGGTGGCACCCAACGTCATGAAGAATGGGATGTTTTGGTCCCCCCCGATGATTTCCTCGGCTTTTTTCCAAGGGTCACTTGCATGGCATGTGTGTGTGGATGGGTGGGAGAAAGAAAGTGTCTTGGTAGGAGATCGCGATGATATGCGCATGGTAATAGTAATCACCATTTCCCCATAAGGGTTGCATATCATTTGTCACTCATAGCATCACATCACATAACATCATTTCAACAAAGAGGTTTGTGTTGCTTCGTTTATGCAGAGATACACAACATACATGACGTGAACAAAGGAATGAATAGACATGCATCTGGCGAATCTCTTAAGAGTAAAGTAGGGGTAACCGTCAACTCTACAGTTAACAAAGAAGCCAACGTCGTTTCATGCATGTAGCCCAGTTTGACAGGTCTCGGCTCTAGCTCCATAGTGATGCAGATACCAGCTGCAGGCTCTGGGCTAGTTATCCCCCGATGGATGGTACATACACAGTACAGTACATGTCATGTACCTGGTCACTCACTCGCTCTCAACCACGAGTGTCTGTAGCATGTATGCACTTGGATTCTTTTAGAAGGTGGAACTGGGCTAAGTTGTGATGCTGCATGTCTCAGAATGGTGTTTGGCCTGTCACGTATGTAGTATGCATGCTCCAACCATCCGTCTACTCAGTCTTGTCGACCTATAAATCGATTATGCAGGCTGCGATGGGATGACCTGAAGATTGCTGACGACGTACGTGTGTCTCAGCTCGGACCCGGTCTTTGTTGTGATAACGACGTACTTGAAGCATGTAATTCTACACATCATATATTTTTAAACTGTACTGTATCACAGTGTTGTGAATACATATGTATATGGATATGGGAATAGAGCCAACGGACCGTACCGTAGTGGGTTTATCTATAGGTATTCCTTTCATCGGGGCATTGGTCAAGTGTGGATATCCCATAATAACCATCTACCTGTCTACCTGGCCTGGGTAGGGGCCTACTATATACCTACCTACAGTATCGATGCAGCACTCAAGTTCAAAGTGCCGGCATAAATCGTCGTCAGAAGTGGGAGTAAGATGGGGCGGGAATGCCGTGAAACCGCGGGAAGCACCTTGACTCGCTACATATCCGTTCCTGTCAATTCTTGTTTGGAAGGAAAAAGAAAAGAAAATTTTCTTCTTTCCCTTCTTGACCCCTACCTCTTAGTTTCCAAGACAAGGCCCCCATAATATATGGGTGGTGGGATATGACATGGTGAAAAGACCCGCTGTCCGGTTGATGGAAGGCTCAAGGAATTCTATACCCGGGTGGGTTTTCTTCAACGACAGCTACACTACGTACACTGGATATCCCTGTGGGGGTCCATTTGATTGTTTGTGTCTATTGGAATATGATCTGAGGACCCTTTTTTGGTGTGATAATGTTGATGTGCTTATTCTTGGCTACATGACTATTCACGGGATGACAATGCAGGCTGGCAGGCTCGTCCTTGTAGCACACAAAAGATCACCCAAGCCAATATATTTACTGTTAGTGGTGGTTGACAGTGACTAACAGCTGAAAGAAGAGCTGATCCGGTCTGTTATTCCCGTCGTTTGTGTGACGCGAGAAATTTGCCATCAGCCCTTTTACGACAAGGCAGATGATTATAGTTAGAACCTGGTCTGGTATGATTAGAGAAACGAGGACGAGGACGAGGATCAACTGAGATGAGGTGCGTGTCAGCAGCATCATGTGAATTGCTAGTTAAATGTTGCGCCATCAGCTTTACCAGGTCCAAGCCAAGTGGTGTGAGCAAACCTGGACAACCAACAACCACTAGATTTACTATGGTATCATGCTCTTTCATCTTTTCGGAATAAACAAGCTAAATTGCCGAGCCGGATTGAGCAGGTTGAATTGTTGGAACAAGACCGGATGAATTGGAATTCAGAATTAGCTCGACATGGTATCCATGAATGGTTGTAAGTGAGTATCCGTACACTCTGTAGTTATGTATGTGCTGTACAGGCTAAGGCACGACGGATGTTGGAATTGCCTGAAAGACATCAAAACGGAGACCACGGGGGCTTCGGCTGAGTGACCCAGGTTAGGAAGCCCCACAGATGCGTCCATCCATAGGCTGTCTGATCCCCTGTACGGTCTGATGATGCATGTACGTCTTGCGTGCGTAGTGCACCTTGGCGGCGTCGTACTGCACATTGTAGCAGCGATGTGACTGTCATGTCAGAGGTTTGATAAACGAGTTTCTGGATACTGTAGACTAAATGCCCTGGTTTGAGCTGATGGGTGTGCTTTCTAGTTATGTAGGTAGTGAGAGGTAATCATGTTTCTGCTAGTTCTGAGTCATGGTTCAAGTTCCATACATACCTACTCTAGGCATACGAGAATACAGTTGTATTCATAATACATAACATGTAGATGTTGCACAAGTCTGGTCTTGCAAAACCTACTACCTAGGTGTTTGATTGTTTGTTGTATCCATGTCATGCCACGAGTTAATATGCATCTAATAATGTCATTGCTGATCCGCTCAAGACCAACAAAGAAAAACAACCGGGATACGACATGATGGATGTAAGCAGTCATCGGGGATAATCGTGAAATTATCAAAAAACAGTATTCATTGTCGACATCCTAGAATACATCCATGTCTCTGTGTCTTGGTTGCTGAAGAAATGCATGTGCATATCCGTGTTTCATAAAGAAAATCAGAAAGCGAGTGTTTAAAGTGTACCTTCTCAATAAATAGGCAAAATACATATGCACATATTTCGTGCAGGAATTGTCGTGAACTTGATCCATCCATCCGTAGACTGACTGTTTTCAGCAGCACTTATCATCATCACCACCACCACCACCACCATCATCAACTCTTACACTGCCACCTTGTTGATGTACTGTAAGTGTACCATCGCTAGTTACCTACAGAGTACCATTCTGCCCTGTCCTTTGCCTGCCCCCATTAAATTATGCCTGCCTGCTTGCTTGCGTGCATCCTGCAGGCTATAGGCTGCTAAGCTAGGCTAGCCTAGCAAGACAAACAAGCATCCTTGACTTCACTTCTCCATAACCGTTTTGTGCCCCATAACTAAAGTCAACATCCATGAAGAGTCCCCATCCAACTCCTCCGCTCCCCCCATGTTCAGTGGCTTGAAATGAGAAAAAGACCCTGGACTGGTAGCCGTTGACTGGCGCAAAAAGATTCCTAGGGGGCAGTCTTTTTCTAGTACTGTATCCGTACCTGGGTACAGTAACAGCAACAAAAACCCTCTCTGAAGTCATGGCTTTGGAAGCAACCTTGTCAGACCCAGGACCCAGAGACCATGTGTCCAGGGTCGTAAGATACATATACTGGACTACGATTCGCCTAGCGGGCCGATGCACCGTGCTCAGCAGCAAAAAGCCAGAGTACATACGTACGTACGGATACATACAAACAGCATATCTGTGGATGGATGGATACATAATTACATGGATGGACACAGTACCGTACAGTACATCCATTAGTAGCTGGATATTGGAGATTGGAGATTGGGGGATTGACTAATAGTTGTAAACAGATGAAAATGGATTAGCCATACTCCCAGTACAAGAATGGGGAGCATCGCATCTCCATTGTATGGGAGCATGTGCTCGCTCGTCTTTCTCTTCTGTACTCGTTTAATCTTTTTTTATTACTCTCACTCGTTAGACCTCTTGAGAAAGAAACTAAAAAAAGGCTGGACCTTGCTGGCGAGACAAAAGGACAAGCGTCCATGAAGCATAACTGCACTACACTGCCTCTAGCTACAAGTTGATCTATAGATTTTAGTCTACATCATGATGCCCAGCTTCAGAAGAGTTCACGACCAGACTTTGATCGCCACCGCTCCTGTTATCTGCTCAGGGACTGCGGCCTCGTCCCCAATGAAGATGGCTTCATCGTCAGCTTCGTGGGTGAGTTATCTGTGGCGGATTATCCTGACTGTGCTGGCTCCTTCAACGGCCTTGCTGCCTTTTGGTGCGTGGGTTGCTTCGGTCTGGGGTTCTCCTGTCCTCGACCTACACGTCCAACCTCACTTCTCGGTTCAACAAAAAGCGCCAATACAGACGGGGATTCCTTTCGAAATTTCTGCCACGTCAGGATTCAACTGCTTCAACCCCAATCTTCCCAATGTCACCATTTATGCCACCGGAGGCACTATTGCTGGCTCTGCAAGCTCGGCTGACCAGACCACGGGATATCGGTCAGCTGCGTTGGGAGTTGATTCTCTTATTGATGCAGTACCGCAACTGTGCAATGTTGCCAATGTGAGAGGCGTTCAATTCGCCAACACAGACAGCATAGACATGAGCTCGGACATGTTGAGAGTTTTGGCGAAACAGATTCAGGATGATCTGGATAGTCCTCTTACCCAAGGTGCTGTTGTGACCCACGGAACGGATACTTTGGATGAGTCGGCCTTTTTTCTCGATCTTACTATCCAGAGCGACAAGCCCGTGGTTGTAACAGGTTCTATGCGTCCAGCAACCGCCATCAGCGCTGATGGACCAATGAATCTTTTGTCATCGGTGACATTGGCAGCGACAGCAAGTGCCCGAAGCAGAGGTGTCATGATTGCTATGAACGATCGAATTGGATCTGCTCGTTTCACGACAAAAGTCAACGCCAACCACTTGGATGCCTTCCAAGCCCCTGATAGTGGTTTACTGGGAACATTCGTCAACGTCCAGCCAGTTTTTTTCTACCCACCATCACGACCTCTTGGCCACCATCATTTTGATCTGCAGCCCATCAACAACGGCCGTAGATTCGGACGCTCCACGGCTAGATCAGGATCATCAGCACTACCTCAGGTGGATGTGCTCTACGCTTACCAGGAGCTCAGCGTGGGCATGTTTCAGGCGGCCATTGACCTCGGAGCCCAGGGTATCGTCCTTGCGGGAATGGGAGCCGGATTCTGGACATCCAAAGGTACCGAAGAGATTCGACGTATTGTCCGTGAGACCGACATCCCCGTGATAGTGAGTCGGAGACCGGAGGGAGGCTTCGTCGGACCCTGTGAGGCAGGAATCGGCGCGGGTTTTTTAAATCCGCAAAAAGCGAGGATCCAACTTCAACTGGCCCTCGAGACCAAGATGGACAATGATGCCATCAGGGCCCTGTTTGAGCATTCGGGAGTGCACTAAAGGGGCAACGAAGATCGAGGTTACAGCAGCAGCAGCAGCAGCAGCACCACCACCACCACTACCATAACAACAGCATGGATGGTACAGCGCATCACAGCGCATCAAAACATCTTAATCCCGATCCATAGAAGGGGGTAATTTTACAGCGACAATGGAAGATTTCCAAAACAAGAGAGGAGATCACTCGGAGGCAAACTCGACGCATCAGAAAAAGGGAGTGATTTTCAGGGCGCATTGTTTTTTTGTTCAATGTCTTTTGTCTTTTTTTTTGCCTCTTCCAGCGAACGCTTTCAAAAATTGGGTGGCTATCTGTTATTTTTTTGCACAAACATCATCATTGTTATTTGTTTCCGTATTTCTGTTTCACTACAGCAAAGGTGCCTTGGGATGGGCAAAAAAACTTGGGAGGCTATTTGCCATTTTGTTGTTCATGATATTATTTGTATCATTACAAAAGTTGTCGAGAAAGAGGAAGGAGACGCATGTGGAGGAAGTGATCTGCCTTTATAAGCAGACAGACGTATTAATCATGATAGTTAATTGTATTCAACATATTACACTACAGCACAACCTCGACTCATCATTGCGTAAATGAAGCAATCGCGGTGATTGAACGGGTACAGCACAAATCAAATCATCAATGACTTTTCCAATTATCCGTCCAACAGTGATTTATCCAGGGTTACTTTTGCGTGGAGTCTTTCTCTAGGCCCCATTGCCGAGGATAGCTGCATAATTGACAGCGGAAGAAGCAAAAAAACAAAATCACAAGCGAAGCTGTACGCAATAACGGACCGCCGCTCTGACAGGGGTTCAATAAAACAGGGCCTGCTCGACTTGGTTTAGGCTGACTTTTCAATATCCTTGACACCTGCTCAACAGGGAGACGGACCGATGAGATCAGGGTTTGAGTTGGGATATCAATTGCTTCTGAAAGTCAACTACGGGCATAGTCAGTACAGTGCAGGATGCATCTCGGTGATCATCTCCAGGTTCCATTACACAAGGTCCACTGTAGGTACAGTAATCGGATACAGGACCGGGCTTTAAATGAGATGGAAATGGATGAATTACTCCGGCCGAGGGACTTTGCTCTATTTGAGTGCATATCATCAAGGAAGGTGGCCAAAATGGAAACATGAACTTTTGTTCAAGGATCTACTGTACCAAAGCAAGTTAGCGGTGGTAAATAGCAATCTAAGTTGGTTCATCTCCAAAGCTTACTTTTAGGGAGTCCATCAATGGATTCAAGATTGGCTATAGAGATAGAGGCAATAGTCCTCCACACTCCACGCGTACTCCCCATATTTATCTCCCTTCACACTAATACTCAGTAACCTTGTCTCGACTGCTAGACAGCAGAGACATCTAAACATAGCTCTCGATACCATTGCTAAATGCATTGATATCTTTTATACATACCTCAACTTCCAGTTATTCCCGTTAAAACGCGTCAGCCACAAAATATCTCTGTCCTGGGCCATCGGACTAAACCAACCCGACAGGCCACTACAGGCCTCAGTGCAAGTGTACGCCGCCAATGCCGAATCAAGGCAGGGCAAAATCCCTACTCTAAATCGAGATCAAGGCGGGCAACTTTCTTACCCATCCCTCCCTTGGCTTGCATGAGATCCCCAATCTTCTTTTGAACAGGGCACAAACATTAGAGCCTCATGGTTTGAACAATTAATTCAGGGGCAGCAACAGCCGCAACAGCATCTTTACAATACATGTCATTCGTTTCAAGATTATCCCCCCTGTTTCCTTCGATCGATTGAATACGTCACCTCAGCAGACACTTTTCCCGAATGTAGTCGACCAAGATAGCCTCAATACGCTCGCTTATTATCCTCCCGCCAGGCCATCATGTCCCAAGACCGCCCGGATGTCGAGGCGCCATTGGGACCCGAACCTTCGAAAACCGACAGTAAAACCAATACCCGTCGCCGCAGAAGTGATGCCGGTCAATCGGCTCCGTTGGCCAATCGCATAAAGGACGTTGCTGCGGATCTATATCAAAAGACCGTTGTCGAGCTTATCTTGCGTCGCAAACACATTGTCGCGTCAACCGATGGGCGCCGTGTGCCCCTCGAGCTCGAACACGAATCGCCCTTGATAGACGACCGCCGTGGCCTCCCCTACGTTTCCAACAGCATCCGAACATCCCGTTATACAGTATGGGACTTTATACCAAAACAACTCTTCTTCCAGTTCTCCCGCGTCGGAAACTTTTACTTTCTGTGCGTTGGTGTACCGCAGATGGTACGTACAACTAACGAGTGGTGAGTATGATCTTATTGTTAACGTTTCACAGATCCCAGGCCTCTCGACGACCGGATCTTACACGACGATTCTACCGCTCCTGTTCTTTGTGCTTCTGACCATTGTCAAGGAAGGATACGATGATTACCGACGATACCGTCTTGATAAGATTGAGAACGCTGGTTTCGCCACAGTTTTAGGACGCGAGGACAAATACACCGGAAAGATCAAACCAGTTACTAAATGGAGGAAATGGAACCCATTCCTGACCAATTCTACGGCCGAACCTCATCCCGCCCCCAATGAAGAATTCAACGGATTGCGATGGGTTCCTGTCAGATGGAGTGAGATCAAGGTTGGAGACATTATCAGACTCTGTCGAGACGAGGCAATCCCCGCCGACCTTATCCTCCTGGACAGTGATGAAGAGAATAAATTGGCGTATATCGAGACCATGGCACTTGACGGCGAGACCAACCTCAAAAGTAAACAGGTTGCGCATGCTCTTCAAGTTTGCGACACGATCGAGGGTATCTCAAAGTGCAAGGCCGAGTTTGTTGTTGAGGACCCGAACCCAGATCTTTACAATTTCGATGGCCGTGTCACTGTCAACGAAAAGACGGTCCCCCTGACTTCAAGCGAAGTTATTTATCGTGGAAGTATCGTTCGAAACACCAACGCTACAATTGGTCTCGTCATCAACACCGGAGAGGACTGCAAGATTCGCATGAACGCCAATAAGCATCCCAAAGCAAAGAAGCCTGCCCTCGAACGGGTCGTCAACAAGATAGTAGTTACGCTTGCGACTTACGTTGTCCTGCTTTCTGTCGGTGTGTCGATGGGCTATGTCGGGTGGCAGAAGAGCACTGAAAGACACTCATGGTACCTGGAACAAGCCAGGGTGCCTTTTTACCAAATCATCATCGCCTTCATCATCATGTTCAATAACGTTGTCCCGCTAGCACTCTACATCAGTCTTGAGATTGTGAAGATTGGCCAGTTGATCATGTTGAACGGGGATCTCCAGATGTACGACGAGGACACGGACACGCCTGCACGGTGCAATACTAACACTATTCTGGAAAACCTGGGCCAGGTGGGATACGTCTTCTCGGATAAGACAGGCACCCTGACGGACAACATCATGAAGTTTCGAAAGATAAGCGTTGCTGGAACGGTCTGGCTACATGAGATGGATCTGGAACAAAAGGTCGACGAGATTGAGGCCATCAAGTTGGATGAAGAGTCAGATCCCGGCGAGCCTTCAGTCTACAAGACGGAACCTGTCACAGTGGTCATCAGGGAGGAACAATCTGAAGGATCCCACGAACCACTGGCTCTGCCATCGCCATCTCACATGTCACCCCGCCCTTCCATGTCTCGTCGACCGTCCATGGCGCCCTCCAGGCCTTCAATGGCACTCTCACGGCCATCATTCGGAAGTCGTAGGTCATCATCCCAATGGCGCTCCACGGGACGTCCGGATCATATTCAGCCTGATGTGACGACCAACGATCTTATTGAATACCTGCGACTGCGACCTAACTCGGGATTTGCCAAGAAAGCAAAACAGTACATTTTGGCAGTGGCCCTGTGCCACACCTGCTTGCCTGAACACAAGGATAACGGAGAACTGGAGTTCCAAGCCGCATCCCCTGACGAACTTGCTCTTGTTAGGGCTGCACAGGAGCTTGGTTACCTTGTTATTAATCGAACGACCCAATCCATCACCCTGCGAGTAACTCAGTCTGACGGCCAAGAGGAGGAGCAGAAATATGAGGTTCTCGATGTGATTGAATTCACCAGCTCGCGAAAGAAGATGTCCATTGTTGTTCGTTTCCCTGACGGCCGTATTTCTGTGATCTGCAAGGGCGCAGATTCCTCTATCCTACCGCGCCTTAAGATGTCGCAAGTTGCTAAACAAAAGGCAAACGAAGTCCGCAAGAGTGCCGACATCGAACGTGAGATGCGCCGACGGAGCGAGCAGCAAGAACCACGGAACAGCTTTGGTGGTAGGCCAAGTCTCACAATTCGACGGAACCCTGGCGTATCGAGAGATCGAAGTACAAGCAGACGGCCTAATGTCGACAGGAGCAAGTCGTTTGAGTTTGGCCGGCTTTCTAGACGGTCTGAAGATAAGCCTCGTCTGTCTATCGCCACTCGAGGCGTGTCGATTGACATGCCTCGTGGCCAGTATCTGAATACCCCTGTTCATTACCAGCAACCTGTCCCTGACCATCTTGCCTTTCTCGAAGACCCCACTCTTCTAGATGATTCCGAGACTTTCACCAAATGCTTCAAACATCTAGATGATTTTGCGACAGAAGGTCTTCGTACCCTACTCTTTGCGCAAAAGTTTATCACAGAAAACGAGTATCAGGCGTGGAAGAAAGTATGGGATGAAGCCGCGACCAGCCTCGGCAATCGACAACAACGCATTGAAGAGGCGGGTGACATGATTGAGCAGTCATTCGACCTAGTCGGCGCAACTGCTATCGAAGACAAGTTACAGAAAGGAGTACCCGAAACAATTGAAAAATTGCGAAAAGCCAATATCAAAATCTGGATGCTTACCGGCGATAAGCGTGAGACTGCTATCAATATTGCTCACTCTGCTCGAATCTGTCGACCCGGGTCCGATCTGTACATTCTAGATGTCTCCAAGGGAGGGTTGGACTCACAACTGGTTGCTCTCCAGGAAGACCTGCAGGCTGGTTCTATTCATAGTGTTGTCGTTATCGACGGCCAGACCCTTTCAGCTGTCGAAAAGTCGCCGGAATTGTCGGCCAAGTTCTTCAAGGTTATGCTGCAGGTCGATTCAGTTATTTGTTGCCGAGCTTCTCCAGCCCAGAAAGCGCTACTTGTCACTACCGTCAGATCCCGACTGAAAAAGTACCGGGGTAAGAACCGAAGAGGACTTACCTTGGCCATTGGCGACGGTGCAAACGACTTGGCTATGATCTCAGCCAGCCATGTTGGCATTGGCATTTCCGGAAAGGAAGGTCTTCAAGCTGCTCGTGTAGCGGACTATGCGATCGCTCAGTTCAGATTTCTGCAACGAATGCTGCTTGTTCATGGACGATGGAACTATGTCCGCACAGCCAAGTTCATTCTGTACACGTTCTGGAAGGAGATGTTTTTCTATCTGCCAACAGCGCAGTATCAGAGATATACGGGCTACAGTGGTACATCGTTGTACGAAGCCACCAGCTTGACTGTATTTAACACTTTGTTTACTAGTCTCTGTGTTATCTGTATGGGGATTTGGGAACAGGACCTCAGTGCTGAGACATTACTAGCTGTTCCTGAGCTGTACGTCTATGGACAACGGAACCAAGGCCTCAACATTTGGAAATTTGCCCGATGGATGCTTCTTGGCGCCATTGAGGGTGTGATTTGTTGGTACGGCGTCTGGGCTGGCCATGGCTGGATAACACCCGCGGCGCGCGACCAAGGATTGTATGCGCTTGGTACGCTCACGTTCTCAGTTGGAGTCCTCTGGATCAACTGGAAACTTTTGTAAGTGAATGTCGCATGATTTGTGGATAATAACTAACGTAATCAGCATTTTTGAAACACATTACAAATCCCTTATTGTCATGGGATCTTTCTTTGTCACAACAATCGGCTGGTTCGCTTGGCTGTCTTTCCTGGATGCGGCATATGCCCCTCAGCCATCAGGGCCTTACGCCATCAGGGATAGTTTCACCACCTTGTTTGGAGATGATGCTGTATGGTGGGCAACGCTATTCATTGTCCTCGGCCTTATTGGTCTTTTTGAGATAGTGCTCAAGTGCGTCAAGCGTCTTTTACTTATGCATGGACTCTGGGACTGGCCACCCTGGGGAAAGAGTCGACGCGGTGAGAATATTGAAGAGTGGGATGTAGAGCTGTGGCAGGAATTGGAGCAGGATCCTGCTTTACGCGCAAGGCTCAAACGCATGGCTCGCGATGAGCCAGTGGGAGAGGAGGAGGATGTTGATTTGGCACATCTCAACATCGAGGAAGAGATCAGGGGTCGATGAGGTGAAGCAGTTGTGGAGTTTTGATACCCATCAGACACGAGCACGTTTTCTATATATTCAGTGGCGTTGTCGTTTATTCTCTAGACTTTTGACTTGCATACGATACACGATATAATTATATTATACTACACCGTTAATAGACTTCATCACCTATCACCTTAGCCTCTATCCTGACGCCTGCGTCCGGCTGCTTTAGCCTTTCTGCGAAACTCTCGCCCAACGAAGCAGGTGTCAAGATACCTCCTCGTCTATGGGCTGGCGTGTCCCCTTGAAGTAGAACCAAAGCCGCTTGGGTTAAAGCCACGCTTGTAAAGACATACGGATCACCGTCGTATTCGAACTTGACCTCGGCTCTTGGTGCAGGATTGGTTTCTTTCTTGTCTGGTACAGCCACGACACGATATTTGAAATAATGCCCCTTGCGCACTTCCTCAGATGGACCTGTTCCTGGCGGAAACATTCGTGTAACGAGGTAACGCAGAGGGGGTATTTTGGTTATAGCGTTCTCCAGAACGGTGTAAATCGATCGAAATGCCCATGCAAATAACGGATTGGAACACTTCATGCGCGATGAGAAGAAGAAGTTTGTCCCATAACTCTCCGGCCCAAGAGAATCTGGTCCCTTTTCAGCGTACAAACCCCAGCTGCGTCCCACAATAGCTGTCTCGATCTGTGAATGAGAGCTCTGTACCAAAGCACCTAAGTCGTCGACTACTTGCACACCAAAGACGTTCAGGGCAGGTAAAATACCGTCTTTGGCGATTTCTGCATCAGTTCTTACCACGGGCGACATATCGAATGGGGCCAGGGTGGTGGGCTCAAGACTGCATAGCGAGCTGAGGCTGCCACCACTGAAGGAGCCGCGGACGTCGTCAAGACAGACGAGGACTTCACGCGTTGGTAGAGAAACGTGTCTACGGAGTTTGAGAATGGAGAGATAAACTGATAGATCTGCGGGGACGGCGGCCCAGCCTGTGGTCATGATTATCTAGCGACGTTATGTTAGACGTTGATTGTGTATTGGATATGGAATCTGACTTTTGAGCCTGTCTTTTGTGCTATCTCATCATAATTCTTGATGATTTCTTGCATCCAGGCGGGTTCTCCGCTGCTGGTCTGATGTAAGTCGACAGACACATACTGAGTACAAGCAACATACCAATCCACATAATCTGTGCCATTTCCAGCACATGCTTTAATCACAGATGTCCCACAAGTTGTAGCATAAGGGCCAATAGTGTTTATAACTACGCTTGTCTTCTTCACAAGCTCTATGATGACTGTTTCGGAGGCGAGGTCAAGAGTGTATATAGTGCCTGTCTAAAGGTTATCAAGTCCGCACTAGAAATTAACTTCGAGGAGAGACATACATGGCTTCTGTTGGAGCTCAAGGTGTTTGTATAGCTGCTCGAGTTTAAATTTGCTACGTCCTGCTATAGCCCAAGATATAGTCTTTGGGAGTACCCGAGCCATGTATGCTGCGCATAGACGGCCTGTGTATCCGGTTGCGCCGAGGAGGACGATATCGAACTTCTCCATTTTATGTGTTTTATCTGAACTTAGTTCAATGTAGCTAATGACTTGGTGCTTAAACCACTGCAACTATATTAGTATTGCTCCTTTTCCTTTATATCGTGGTACTTACTTTCTATTTCGACCGAAGAGCGGACAGAGATCGGAACGGCCCCACTTCTCGGCGTGATTGAAGCCCGGTACGGAAACATATCAGCCCCGGACGGGGCATTGCGGGGTAACAAAGCTCCGGTCGGCTCAATAAGGGCCGGTTATTACAGTAATATGGCAGAGCATCAATAGTAGATATGCAGTCAGATTTTAATAGTCTTGTAGCTTGAAGACGACCTGAGTAGCGGTATTACGCAATATTAAAATGCTTCAGTCGTGTGCTATGTTCTTATGAGACTTTATGTCATGATTTCAAATATGTCAGATTGCTAGATAAGTGTCCTTCGCTTGACACTCCTTCAATTTTAATGCAACTTTTGTACCCATCGTCCGGTATGTCCTTTGTTGATGTACTCCTTCACTCTATTAAGCGCGTCGTTCAACATCTGTATCCTGCTGGTTGACTACCCCTTCGGCCCTCTGAGGACGTTCGGGTAGTTTACCAATTATTTCCATACTTCTAAAAGTATACACAACCAGTGCAAGAGCCATGAAGAGAATACCAAAATTTGTCCAAGCTCCTGCCCGAAGACCTTTGAGAGATGGAGCATCCCACTCCTCAACCGACCCGACATGCTGCACATCAACTCCTCTCGCCTTCGCCATGACCGACGATTGAATAGCTGTAGCAACAGCCAGAGAAATGGCACGACCTATCATACCGGATGAGTTGATGAGAGCACCGCCAACAGCTTGATCCTCCCTGGGGAGTGCATGGGAAGTGAAGAGGGTGAGACAAGGCCATGCTGTATCAGCACCGACGACAGATAGAATCATAGCCCACATGCCCCAAGCAAAGTACGACGTAGTTGGGGGGATAGGCACAGCGTAGAGAAGAGCAGCGATACAGACGGCGACATGGCCGAAGGCGAGGATGAAGAAAGTCGGGATGCGTGAAAGAAGATAGGCCGTGCAAAAGGCGACAATGAAGCCACTCACTCCAGTAGGGATGAATCGCAACATCGTCTGCAGAGGTGACAGGCCTTGGTAGTCCTGGAAGTAGTAGGTAGCATAGATGAGGTAGTTGTTGAAACCGCCAAAGAACAAGCCCATGATGATCATAACAGCTGTGAAGCGCCAGTTGTTAAAAATAGACACCTTGACGAGGGGAGGTCGATTCGTCTGTTGCTCAAGATACCGTTGCCAGAAGAAGAAGGCGACGATGATACCTAGCGAGACGACAATGAGTACAGGAATCCAAGGGGCAGTCCAGCCAACAACGTTTCCCTCTGTGAGAGCAAAGGTGAGAGCCAAGAGGCCGCATGTTATAAGAGTAGCGCCGATCCAGTCAACGGCCGCCGTCTTAGCCCGGAGACTGGTATGCTCGGGTCGGAGCTCTGGTGGCGAAGGCGGGATACAAAAGACACCAGCGACGGCGATCATGCCCGCCATTATGGCGAGAGCACCAAAGACCCATTTCCAGCTGGCCCATTGAGCGATAAGACCAGAGACCAAATTACCACAGACACTGCCTAGAGGGGCACCGGCAGCTGTATATATTAGTTTATGTCTGTGGACAAACAGGTAGAGAAGCTCACCATATGCACTAAAGGCATAGTTCTTTGCCTTTCCAGGAGGGAATGTAGTTCCAAGAATACCAATTGCAGTTGGTACATTGGCGGCGGCACCCTGAGTAGGTATCATTAGTTATACTCTTCAGTATGAACGGATGTAAATAACAACTTACCAGTCCATGAAGTCCACGAAAGAGGTCAAAAGCAATCTCAGTAGGGATAAAAGCATTGACGATACAACAAATCGTGACCCAAAAAGATCCCAGAATGAAGATCAGTCTCTTTCCGTAGATATCCGCTATACGTCCCCAAAGCAACAAAAAACAACCAAAGGTCAAGACATAGGATGAGACGACCCATTGTAGTCTCGTGTCAGGAACATCGAGAGCTCGACCAATTTGGGGGAGAATAATGACCACGCTTTGACTAGAAAGGGTCTACCAAGTGTTAGTAATTCATATATCTTTAGTTAGTAGTTGGTAAACTCACGTTGAGAAAAGAGGCTCCAGTGACGGTACAGACAAGAGCTATGCAACGACCTTTAGACAACTTCAACTCATCTTTTGAATCCACTGATTCAGCATCACCTTCTCCTTCATCTAGGGCATTGTTATCATTAGGAGTCCGATTATCGGCGCCGAAATCGGAAAGTGTCTTCTCATCTCTGTTTGAAGCCTCTGAGATGATGTTCTTTTCCTCGCCTGTAACGGGAAGAGTAGCTGTTTGAGACGAGGCGGGCTCAACTCCAGAGTCTGGCCTCTTTTCATTCCCGTGGTCGGCCATTCTCTTCTAATATCCCGAACAAGATTACTTGACCGAGAAATTGAATCAGAAATTCATGACTTGGACAAACAAAAAAGAACAAACGACGGAAATGATGGGGGAATGTCGAGGTTAATATATTACCCGTAACTCCCTACTACAGACCTAACCGTCAACAGCCAAGCCCGGCTAGAGCCCCCAATCCAGTACAAATTATCAATCAAATCAACTGGGGTAAGAGTTAAAACTGTGGGGGATGGAGATGATCTAACTTGTCTAGGCGAGCCGGAATGGCGAACTTGATCAAGACATGACATGGGAATATTCTAGCACTTGTTGTATTCTTATTATTACTACCTACTGAACATTCGACTCTTCAACAAATTAAGAATACAAAATCCGAGGGAAAATACACATAGCTATATGGATTCTCTCTCATTACTTGACCATAAAGGACTGCATTAGCAGCGTTGCATGGTAGATCTTTGATATCTGCAACCCCACTCATCCGTCAGATTATACACAAAAGCCGGGTTTCATTGCCGGAGAGGACCGTCCCTAAATAGTCCACACATTGCCTAATTCTTTTCCAAATGGCTATTTACCCCGATAACGTCTTTTCTTTCCCCTCTGCCTCTGGCTGTCATATCATACCTTGAGATATACATTGTAGCTGTTCCACAGCAGACTCGGCTTCTTGACATACTCGACGCAATACATGCATATGTATTCCCATAATGCCATACATTACATGTCTTTGTCTGCAGTTAAACGAGAATGACTGCATATTGTGCCCCCAAAGCTTACGTGCTCCATTGTCCATCTGTCACCGACACATTTACAGCATATCCATGACTGTACATATACATCAACATGCTTGTTCATCACGCAAAAGACTAAGCAATAATTCCTCTCCAATAAGATTTTCTTATTTTCATTGATATCATTGGATCAAAGCCCATTTAAAAGGACTTCTCAATCTCATGCCTGGCCAAATCAATCCTTTGCCCTAACATTGCCTTGCCTTGCCTTCTTCCGTGCACGCCTTGCCTTGAATGTCCTTTTCCCCTTGTCCTCAGAAAGAATACACATCGTTAAACGAACACGTTCAACCCAGTTCCCCAAAAAGCCCGTGAGTGAACAAAAAATAATCCAGCCGTTGCAGTTGAGCCATCTCCCTCGAAAAACAACCCAAAAAAAATACTGTTTCATCAAAGCAAGCAAATTCCCAACTCGGGAAAAGGAAAATAACACGCACGCAGTCTCGTTTGTTTGTTAGATTCGACCTGAACAGAAAGCACCAGGGAGAATGAGAGTGGGAGTGAAAGTTGAGAAAGAAAAGAAAAAAGACCATGGCGAAACGCCTTGCCCTTCCATTCCGTCCCATTCCGTTTTCTTTGTTTTGGTTTGCCATATGCCACCCTGATCTTTTTAAGGTGATTCTCGAAAAAAGAAACAATCGTACACGTAGACACATTGAGGTGTGAGAGAGAAAATATTCGTCTGGCTCGACGGATGAGCCATATGCATCATGCTGATTATAACCCCTGACTCCTAATCATCGTTCATCAATCCTGTCATCTCTTCTCTTCGCCTCGCCTCTTCTTTCACCTGCATCTTACACTCTCTTACGAGGCATTACGTCGGCGATACCGTCCTAGTGGTAGTTGCCTCCCCAGCCACCACGCTGTTGCTGTTGTTGGTTGCTGCCATAGTAGCCGCTACCGCCAAAGCCCTGGTTGTATGAGCCGTAAGGGCTGTTTCCATGCTGGCTGGCACCGGCATTACCGCCCATGCCATATGCGTTGCTGCCGTGAAGACCGTGGCCCTGGAGGTGGCTAGGGTAGCCGCCATAGCCACCGACGTTCTGAGGTGGTGGGAGACCGCTCTGAGCAGCGGGGGCATTAGTAGCTGATCCAGGGCGGGCACCACCGAGGGAAGGCGAGGGACCAGATCCAGCCTTGGAGTCACCGAAAGGAGGCTTCAAGTCATCAGCAACGGCGTTGCCAGGCTGGCCAGGGCTGTTGAATGACTGGCCCTGAGTCTGGAACGAGGTAGCTCCTCGGGCAAAGCTGTCGTGGACGCTGCCGAACGAGCTGGCACCGAGGCCAGGCTGGCTAGCAGCCTGGCTGGTAGCAACACGACCGTAATCACCCAGACCAGATGCTCCCAGACCACTGTCGCGGTGGAGAGAAGACTGGCCGAATCCAGCGGGAGATGAGCTGTGGTCATAAGGTGCGTTGGGGGACATTTGGTAGGGCTGGCCGTACATGCCACCCTTTCCATATGGGCCAAATCCTCCCTGGCCATATCCAGAGTAATATTGGTGGTAGTAGGGGTTGCTGTAGTAGGGATGGTTGTAACCGGGATACTGCTGGCCGTGTGACTGGGGCTGAGATCCCTGACCAGGCTGCTGCTGTTGCTGACCAGGCTGTTGAGCCTGTTGCTGCTGGGCCTGGGTAGTAGGGTTGGGAGTGCTGTTGCCACTGTTCTGGGCATCCACAGCACTTCCACCAAATCGTGGTTGGTTGTGCAGACCACTCTGGGGATACTGGCTAAGATTATCCGCCTGAGAAGCTCCATAACCACCAAACTGTCGCTGAGAGGCAGTGGCCTCCTGGCCCTGTCCTCCCTGCTGGCCAAATTGCTGGCCGTAGTAGTTGTAAGGGTTTCGGTCGGGTTGGTTTGCGGTGTAGTAGGAAGCATAGTCGTTAGGCGCAGAGCTGAAAGCGGCGCCAGGTTGCTGTGCCTGAGAGGTTTGGGAAGAGAAGTTGTCGAAGGGGGGTTGAGAAGAGGGGGTGCTCTGCTGATTGAAAGGATCCAGAGGCTTTTGAGCGGCCATGGGGTCCTGGGCACCAGCTTGACCGAAGCGACCGTATTGTTGAGCGCTTGAGGCGGGAGCTTGGCCAGGGATCTGAGCCTGAGCCTGGGATTGAGCAGCAGGAACTATAGCACGGTCAGTAATCAAACAGGACAGCGAACTCGAAGATAAAGTCATACCAGTAGGGGCTGCAATCGGAGCAACCGCAGGAGCAGGCTTCTGAGCAAATGAGTCGGGAACACCAGCTTGGGTAGCAGGAGGAAGCGAGGTGCGGGGGTGAGTGACAGGTGAGTCGGCTGGAGGCTGGGCTCTGGTCTCAGGCTCCTCTCGCTCACCATCAATGTCTTCATCCCCGTTCAGGCTGAAAGCTCCGAACTGAACGGCAGCACGGTCAACCTCGCGGTTTCCAGGCATACGTACAGCTTCCTCCTGGTCAAGGACACGTCGCTGGTGGTGGCTAGGAACACGGGTAGTTCGCTCAGCAGTGGCCTTGGCGGCAGTTGCAGCGAATCCGCTAGGGGGGGCTTGATGTTGCTGCTGGGCAGCTGAGACGGGTGTAGCATTAACACTGGCAGGGTTCTGTCGAGGATCCCAAGAGTCAGCAGCGGTGCTTGCGACAGTACCTTCTGGAGGCGGCTGGGATTCGTCAACAACCTGTTCAAGATTTGATTCGGTGAGCTCATCCTTAGAGGGAGGAAGAGCAACCTCAGGCTCTACATTAACTTGAGGAACTTCGGCGGGGATAGTGGTATCGGCAACGGGCGTGGTCTCGTCAGTTTCGTCGGCGGGAGTAGGGGCGGTTTCGGGCTCGGACTCGGGCACAGCCTCAACCTCGGGTTCGATAGGTTCGGGGGCAGACTCAAGCTCAGCTGGCTCAGCAGCTGGCTGGGGAGCAGCGGGAGCTTCCTTAGGCTTGGGCGGGGCCTTGGGAGGAGCAGACTGTCGCAGCATGCTTGCCCAGGTCTTGACTGCAGGAGCAGCAGGCTTGGGTGCCTCAGTCGCGGAGGGGGCAGGTTGTTCAGCAATGGGCTCCTTTTCCTCTGAGGTGCCCACCTTGGGATCCTTAGTGCCCCAGACAGATGACTCCTCTGTAGGAATAGACAAGGCAACGTTCTCCTTAGGTCCAGCGCCGTTGGTGGGAGCAGCAGCAGGTCGGCCACGTGTGCTACGACCTCCTCGTTCAGTAGCTCGGCCTCGACCTCGACCTCCTTCAGATGCACCTCGGCCACCACGGGCGGCTCGGGGCCCAGTAGACGTCGCGTCGTTCGAAGTAGTAGGAGCTTGGTCCTTAGCCTTAGCTCGAGTAGCCTTCTTAGGCTTTGAAACTTCACCCCATTGCGAAATAGTACCTAGAAAAGGGTATGTGTTAGTGGGACAATTCAAAAGTGTAGAGTTGTAGACAAGTGAGTAATGAAAGCGCAACTATCTCAACAACTTGTACGTGTGTGTAGCCTGAGCGCAAGGGTGGACTGAGATATAGATGGATAAAAAGCCTGACATACCCTCAGCGATGCGTGTGACGGCTTCGTTCTCGTCGCCGTCGGTTTCCTGGAGAGCAAAAAGGACATCGGCCTCAGACCAGTCGGGGAACATCTCGCGGATCACCGAAGTCTTGTTGCCATATTGCTTTCGAAGCTCGCCAAAATCGCCTTCGTCTTCGAATGCACTCTGGGAATCAGCAGTGCTGTGGTCGGGCTTGTCGCCATTGGTTCGTCGGCCGCCGCGACCGGCGAAACCTCCTCTACCACCGCGGCCAGAGCCTCTGCCGCGCGAGGCGGATGTCCGTGAAGTCGCTTCGGACATTAGATGGGTTGTGGTTGATTATGTGTTGTGTGTGCGTGCGTGAGGTTAACGTTGTGCGGGAGGAGAGCTATGGAGGCTCAAAGTGTGGAGAGGAAAACAATGGAGGAAAAAAGGTAGACCTGTCAGCTGTCCTCTGAAGGAGCAACAGGCAGGTTGAGTATCCGTAGTCGACAGATGAGGGCGTCGATGGGAAAGAGAGGCCAGATGATGGAGAAGAGATCAAGGTTGGTGGGAAGGTTTGGTTTGGTGCTAAGTCAAAGGGAGAGGAGAGGAGACAGGATAAGACGAGGTTTTCCCCAGAAGTAAAGAACCTTGAGGTGGGCTTTAGGTTGACCTTCAGGGCATTTGATCAGTGGCAGTGGAGGAGGTTACGAAGGTTTTGCCTCTAGCGGCTGGC